TTAAAGCCGCACTAAGAATTTTGGAATACCCTCTTTGATGGACAGAGTACTGGATCAAACCATTTGGGCTTGAGTCTTGACTTTGCTGTTCCTTCTCTGTGTGAGCTTGGGGAAATCCCTTTACCTCTAAGGCCTTTCATTTTCTCATCTCTGAAACAAGAAGTAGAATGTGATGATGATGATGATGATGATGATGATAACTCACATTTCCATGGTACCTGAAGGTTTACAAAGTGCTTTCCTCATAACAACCTGTGAGATATGTAGGAAAGGTATTGTCACCTTTTACAGATGAGGAAGCTGGGGTTCTAAGAGGTTAAATGGTTTGTCCGAGCCTACATAGGTAGTAAGTATCAAGGCCAAAATCAGATCTCCTGACTCCAAATTCCACTCATATTGTTGTTCCTCAGTCATTATTTAGTCATGTCTGACTCTTCATGACCTAATCTGGGGTTTTCTTAAGCAAAGGTACTGGAGTGGTTTTCCATTTTCTTCTCCAGTTTATTTTACAGATGAAGAAACTGAGGCAAACAAGATTAAATGAGTTGCTCAGGGTCACACAGCTAGCAAGTGTCTGAGGCCAGATTTGAATTCAGGAAGATGAGTCTTCCTTGAATCCAGGACCCCTTGCTCTATCCACTGTGCCACTTAACTGACCTTTCCATACTTTTACACTATATAATATGCCTCTCAATATTCTCTTCTAGTTCTAATATCATATAATCCTAATTAATACAATTTTGGAATACTGGCTCACTTTCTGCCCTCCTCTCCTCCTTTTTTTCCTCTTTTCTTCTATTTCACTTCCTATCCCATTTACAAAGCTCATAGTGAATGGTTGAACGTAGAATAGAAATGAAAAGTAGAACAAGAAGAATTTAAGGAAATGTATATGGGGCAACAGGTGGGAGTTAAGGTGATCAGTTACTAGATATCTATGTGATTTGTTTTAATCAGATAATCAGAATACCTATCTCAAATCCCTGACCCTGAGGAAATGAGAATTTGGAGTGGGAGAGGGTCTTAGATAAGGAAGGAATAGCTTTGGAGCATGGGACATTTTGTGGAAGGGCAGGCCTGAGTGGACCATCAAAATGTCAGACATTGAATAGTTAGAAGGAAAATGACAATATTACATAAATTAATTTAGAGATTCAATGCGAAGAGATTCAATGCGAAGAGATTCAATGCTGAATCAATCAAACTATCAAAGGGTTACTTTGTAGAAGTAGGCAAAGTAATAAAATTTATTTGGAAGAGTGAAAGGTCAAGAGTCTTAAAGGAATAATGAAAATTTCTTTGATAAAAGTCTGTTATTCAAGATATATAGGGAACTGATGCAAATATATAAGAACAAGAGCCATTCAAATGGTCAAAGGATATAAACAGGCAATTTTCAAAAGAGGAAACCCAAACCATAAAAACCATATGAAGTAATATGCCAGATTACTAATAATAAGAAATGCACATTAAAACAACACTGAGGTTCTACCTTATGCCCATCATTGGCAAAAATGACAAAAAAAGGAAAATGCAAAATGTTAGAGAAGCTGTGGGAACACAGGTACACTAATGGACTGTTGGTGGAACTATGAATTGGTTCTACCATTCTAGAAGGGAATTTGGAACTATACCCCCAAACACCCTAAACTGTGCATATGCAGAATTTGACCCAGTTTGACCCTTTTACCCAATGATACTACTATTGGCATATACCCCAAAGAGGTCAAAGACAAAAGGGAAAGGATTCAAATGTACAAAAAAGCATTTATAGCAGCACTTTTTGTTTTAGGAAGAACTGGAAATGAAGTAGGTGTCCATTAATTGGAGAATAGCTTAACAAATCTATAATGTATTATCGCATTACAAATTACAAAATGGAGTAATTCAGAGAAACCTGAGAAGGCATATATAAATTGAAACAGAAGCAGTGAGTATAACCAATAGCATAACGAATTTATACAATGACTACGATAATGTAAAGGAAACTAACTTTTAAAAATATATCTTTTATTTATTTCAGTAAATATTTCCAAATTACACCAAAAAATTTTTCACATTCATTTTTTAAAAATTTGAGTTCCAAATTTTCTCCCTTCCTCTTGCCCCTCCCCCACCCCTTAAGAAGGCAAGCAATATGATATTGATTATACATGGGAAGTCATACAATACATATTTCCATATTAGCCATGTTGCAAAAGAAAACACATACACACAAGAAAAATTTAAGAAGTGAAAAAGGTATGCTTCTATCTGTACTCTAAGTCCATCAATTCTCTATCTGGAGGTGGATAACGTTTTTCATCATGAGTCCTTTGGAATTGTCTTGGATCATTGTCTTGATCAGAATAGCTAAGTTTTTCACAGCTCTAGTGCTGTGTACAATGTACTCCTGGTTCTGCTCACTTCACTTTGCATCAGTTCATATGAGACTTTCCAGGTTTTTTGTAACCGTCCTCGTAATTTCTTATAGCACAATAGTATTCCATCACCATCATATACCACAACTTGTTCAGTCATTCTCCAATTCATGGGCATCCCCTCAATAGGAAACTAACTGAAAGATTTGGCAACTCAGATCAATTCAGTATCCAGTTATGACTCCAGAATACTAATGATGAAGCATACTTCCCACTTTTCCACTTCTGGGCAGGGAAGTGGTGCAAAATGAGACATGTCTTTTCAGATATGAACAATGTGTAATTTTGTTTAGCTTGATTATACTTATTTGTTACGAGGGAAGGCTTTTATTTTTGTGTAACATATTATTAAAATAATTAACTCTTTTTAAGCCTAGGGGCATTAGAATGTCCCTTCAGGTTCCTGTGCTGCTTTAAACAAATTTATATTAAATAAAAAAAATTAGGCATACAGTCACAATCTCTCCAAGTTCCCAGTTAGGAAAATTTCTAACATTCTGGCAAAGGTTTGACTCTACCTTAATTTGCATTTTATCTTGATCTCTAGTCAACCTTTGGTAGCCTCTTTGTGTTGAGGTGAAATTGCAGTTACTGGAAATGTTTAGGTTAAAAAAAAGCAGTAGATATTATATCATAGTGTCTGTTGATAGACAGGTACTGAAAAGAGAAGTTAGGCAAAAAGTAGACCTTTTCTGCGAATTTACCTAAGTCTTTGATGGGTTGGATACAACCAGTGTTTCAGTTTGCCTGTAGCGCTAATGGCCCTCCTCACTTTCTCTCTTCTTTGTCACGGGGCAGTCCCACTTTCTCTTTATTTATTTATTTATTTATTTTTTTGCTAGTCGCTACTGGATATCCTTACTTCATTTTTTTCCACAGCCAGACCTCCAAATCCCTCTCAACTCTGAATCTTCAATTTCTGATTTTTCACTGATCTACTATTTTATGCAAGACCCACAGATGTGACTAAGATTTCTTGGTCAATTTGAACATTCTTCCTGTCAATGTCACTCTGGTTCATCCAAGGACTTTTCATACTTAATCCAAAGTCCTTGATTAATGGGTTGAGACTTAGTCTTAGGGCATGGGCCAACTTGATTACTTTTTCAACTATTCTACATCTCATATCTACCTAGTTTTTTAATATGTTGTCTCTACTATTAGAATGTGATCTTGAGAGCAAGGACTGTGTTTTCTGCCTTTTTTTGTATCCCCAGCTCTTAGGACAGTGTCTGGCACATAGTAGGTGCTTAATAAATGGTTGTTGGTGGCCTGATTGACATCTATGAAATTTAAGAGAACCCTAGACACAGACCTTCCCTTCATATTGGGCACATCCTCCATGAAGATTTATAGGAAGAAATGGACAAGAGAAACATGGTGTAATAATAACCATTGATATTTATATAAATAGTTGCTTTAAAATTTGCAAAATGCTTTAGGGGCCTTACCTCGTTAGAGCCTTACAACAACTGTGGGAGCTTTTGCTACAGGTATTATTAATTCCATTTTGCAGATCAAGAAACTGAAGCTCAGAGTGGTTAGATGATTTGTGCGTGGTTATATAACTAGTGTTAAAGGCAGGCTTCAGACCCAGGTCTTCTTGACTACCAGGCCAGCAATCTGCCCACAGTGGTTCCCAATTTTTTTTATTCCTTCAAACCCTTTCCACTACAAAAACAATAAAACTGTGTTGTGAACCCCCAGGGTTGTGAACCCACTGTGTTGTGAATCGCTCTTTATATATTTTTAGATTTATTCATGGTATTTATAAAACTACATTATAACTTTTGCCTTTTCCTAAAAACTCCAGATAAAAATGTATATGCTATAATTATGAAATATAACATTTTATTCTACCTACTATTATAAAAACTATAATGTTTCCAACATGCACGTGCATGTTGTCAGAGAAAAGAAAATTATTTGTAACATAATTGGGCAATAATTTATTATTTATATATTTATTTATATCATTATATATTATATATTAATTTATATTATTATATATTTATTCTTATATATTTATAATTATTTATTGCTTAATTTATTGCAGAATAAAGTATATATAAGCACTTAGACCATCAACTTAAACCCTGCAAGGGGTCTATGAACCACTAAACACAAACCACTGCACTGTGCTGTGGTGCAACCCAATTAGTCAGTCGGCAAACATTTGCTCATCACTTTACCTCGAGTATAAAAAGGCACATAGAAGCAGTGACCTACATGGGTGAGGAGAGCACTGTTATTGTTGCCATCACAGGTCTGTTGGATAATACCTGGCCTTGTATTGCAATTGATTCATGTGGATAAGGCCTCTCTTATCAACTGGATTGCAAATTATTCATGGGCAGATACTAGCTTTTATATTTTGGTATCTCCGCCTTCCCCAGACTTAGCACATCTTAGCACATTTTGGGGCATGTGGTAGGTGCTCAGTAAATACTTGCTGATTAAACAGTGGTGGGGACTATCTTTTACATTTTTTTATATCCCCAGTGCTTAGCACAGTGCCTGGTACATAGCAGGAGCTTAATAAATGCTTATTGGCTGACTATCATTTGCTTTTGGTTACAGGTACTAAACCAAAGAGATGTGGGTCCAAGAATATCCTGGTTATCCTTGGATTCTTATTTTTCTTGGCTGTGATTGCTTTAATCACAGTGGCCCTTACCCAGAATAAGCCACTGCCAGAAAATGTTAAGGTAAGTCAAAGAATTTATAACAATTTGGAGAGTAAATTAGCCTGCGCTGACCATTCCAATTCTCTTTGTGTCCCGCCAAGCCTCTTACAGTCAGAGGAGTGCTGGTAAATGTTTAACAACTGGCTGCAGGACACACTTTTAAGCTTCATCTGCATTATTCACATCTTCCCCATCACTTTCTTAAGTCTAGAGACAGCTGACAAAACAATAAATCAAGCTCTGATTTGTAGCATTTGCTGATTTCTGAGGTGTTGATGCTTATACTGAAAATTCAACAATCAGTTCTCTGAGCTAGTTTGAGCTGGTTTCAGGATATCCCTACCTGTAGTCCATCAAATCATGTAGTTTTAAAACCTGAGGCTTTTTGACCTTCTCACCTTTCAATTTTGAATTTCCTTTGTTAACTCTACTCTGTGAATTGGATATTGTCAGAGCTTTGAGAAAATACCCAGTCTACAAGCTTGGTTCTGAGGAAAGAACCTCACTGTGATACCATCAGAGCTGAGGGGCATTCTCTGACTGATTCAGCCTGGCTGCTGCCTCCCCTAATCCTTCAGTCCTGACCATGGCCTAATGATGATTACACACTTGTTTGTCATAGGATCATAAGGTCATAGATTTAAAACTGGAAAGGACCTGAGAGGTCTTAGCCTCTAACTTCTCCCCCATTTTGCAGATGAGGAAACTGTGGCATAGAGTGGTTAAGTGGCTGGACCAGGACCCCAAATTATGAAGTGTTTGAGGCAGGATTTGAACTTGGGTCTTCCTGTTTCCAAGTTCCCTATCCACTGTGTCACACTTCTTTCTCTCCTCTCATTTTCTTATCTTTGACTTTGTCCTTCATCAGCATATCCTAGAGACATAGGTCTCCTTGTTCCTTTATATGTCTTTATAATATAGCCTAATCCAGACCTGCCTGCTCTGGTAGTTTTGTTTCTGTATCTTCTCACCTAACCCCACCCTGGCCCAGTCTTCCATTGCAGAATAAAGTATATATGGTCTTTACTCTAGCCTGCCTGGCCTGGGCCAAGTCCATCACCCTAATTCTCACGTTAGTCCATTCTCTAGCTTAATGTGGGCTGCAATGAGGTCATTTCTGCAGTTATATTGCTATCTGAAGCTGCATTCCCAACCAGCTTACCTGTTATTTTCACTTAAGATTTAATGGTACCATCTTTGCAATGCTCCTTCTGCTTTATTCAGTTTTGCAATTGCAGCTGGGCTTTTTTCTCCCCCCTCTTCAAAATTTAATTTAAAGCCCTCTCTATTAGTCTCTTGCTAACCCTATCCCTCTCGGTCTCCACACCTGAACAGTTGCCTTCCAATCTGGTATTATGGCTCACCATCCAGGAAACCACATTCTTGCTGTCATAGGCACCATCTACATAGCCAGCTCCTCATTTCTGCCTTCTTCCAAGTCATGACCGTCAACTGGAAGAAAAGATGAAAATGAAAAACTCTTTGTTTCTATCTTATACTCCTCAAATTGGCAAAGTTGTTTTTTAAAAAAAAGGAAAATGACAAATGTTGAAAGAGTTGCAGGAAAATAGGTATATTAATATACTATTGATTGAGCTGTGAATTGGTGCGACCATACTGGAAAGCAATTTGGAGCTATGCCCCCAAAATTACTGAATTGTGCATACCCTTTGAGTCAGTGATACTAGTTGCTGTTGTTGTGGTTCAGTTGTTTCAGTCATATCTTACTCTTTGTGATCCCATTTAGGGTTTTCTTGGCAGAGATATTAGAATGATTTGCCATTTCCATCTCTAGTTCGTTTTCCAATGGAGAAACTGAGGCAAACAGGTTAAGTGACTTGCCCGGCGTTACTCGGCTAGTAGGTATCTGAGGCTGAATTTGAACTCAGGAAAATGAGTCTTCCTGGCTTGAGGCCCAACACAGTCGATTCATTGCATCACCTAGCTGCCCAGTGATACCACGACAAGACCTTTACCACCAAAAAGATGGAAAAAAAGAGGAAAAAACTCATAAGGACAAAAATATTTATAGCCACTCTTTATAGCAATGAAGAACTGGAAACCAAGGGAGTTCTCATCATTTGGGGGATGGATGAACAAATTATGGCATGTGAAGGTAATAGAATTCTATGATGCAATATGAAATGACTAGAAGGACATTTTCAGAGAAACCCAAGAAGACTTACTGATGCAAAGTGAAGTAAGGAAAACCAGGAGAACAATTTATACCATAACAATGTTGTAATGACAAAAAGACTTTCAGATTTAAGGATGCTGATCAATGCAACAACTGACCATAATTCTAAGGGACCTATGATGAGCTATGTTACTCACCTCCTGGCAAAGAGGTGATATACTCAAGATGCGGTACAAGACATACATTTTCCAATATCCCAATGTGGGAATTTTTTGCTGGACCATGTCTATTCGTTACAAGGAGTTTTTCCCATGGGAAAAGACAAGGTGGAAGGGAGAGAAAATGCTTATTAATTGGAAAAAATTAAATAAAAAGAGATATAAGTACCACAGATTTTCAGCTTCTTTCTGAGACGTTAAAAGTTTCATGAAATGCGTTTAGTTTTGTGTTTTCATTCATTCCCACACAGAAGAGCAGAAATGGATAGCAGTTCATAAGCCTGCACTTTAGCTGGTGCTCTGTCACAACCTGGATACATTCTACAGAAACATGGACTTGTGATATTGTCTTCACCTTGTCAAGCAAGAGTCCTCAATGGAGTGCCACCAACCACCATCTTCTGTCTGTTCATTCTGGGAAACATAGCAGCATTTTGGCTATTGCCAGAGGGTCTTCCTTTGCATGGCTGAAAGTTTCCTTTCAGTATGTCTGAGAATACTTTTCATGAGGAAGCCTTGTCTGTTTTATGGAACCAATGGTGTAAGTCCTTATCTTCTCCTCTGGGTCAGTGGCTTCCACCTTGGAATTTTCTTCTTCTTGGCTTCTATTCTCCCTAAGAATGATTCCTCCTCTCTCACAAGCCAGAGTGAAGGGAAGTATGTATCTCCTAAGGTCTTTGACATTCTCAAAGAGGGAGACCAGCTTGGACTTGGAACAGACAGAGCTGGGAATAATGTCTGTCAGGAAAGGAAGCTTAGCACATAAACAGCAGGTCACTGTAACATGCCAATCATGCCCTCATTTCTTGGATCCTAGTTAAGTTGGAGAGGCACAAGGGTACAGTGGACAGAGTACTTTACTTGGAGTCAGAGAAAGCAGTAGTTCATATTCCCCCTCAGACCCTCACTTGTTTTGTGACCCTGAGCAAGGCCTATAGTTTCTTCATCTGTAAGTGAGGGATAATAAGAGAACTTAACTCACAGGGTTATTGTGAGGCTCAAAAGAGAACCTCCTCATAATATATAAATAGGAACTAGTGTATCTAACAGTCCTTTGCTCCATCTGGAAACTCCTTATTTCCACATCTCTTTTCCAAATCTTCTGGGTCTCAAGTGCATTTGGAAAGGGGCTGTTTTAAAATCTTCTTAGTCAAAAAAAATAAATAAAAAAAATTAAAATCTTAGTCTTGTCCATTCCTAAATGCCAAACCTTTTTTGGAACAGTTAGAAAGACTTACACAGGACAGCTAATAGAAAAGTATTCTCCCTCCACTTAGAGGCATGCAGTTTTCAGTCACAACACCTTTGTCAAGCAGCCAATTATTAGCTTTGACTTCTCTGCATTGGAATTAAGTTCCACTCTCCCCTTCTGGACTGCTTTGTCCAATCAGTATTACAAACAGAACTCTGCTATGAACATTTCACTTGAGACATTTTCCACTGCTGGCACTCTCTGAGACATGCATCTGGTGTTCAGTGTTCATGGAATTTCCCAAGAGTTCCCTTCAAAAATGGATCAAAGGATTGTCCTTGGATGAGAAAGATTTTGTGGTTTGATGTCTTTATGAAGTATTTGGAAAGATCAGTTCTGATTTCAGGATCTAGACTTTTGTACAGTTCCATATATTTTTTAAAACTGCATTTCAAAATGTTTTCTAGTAGGAAATAAGGAAAATCTTGGCCCTGTTTTCAAGGGGGACCTACTATTGTTACTTACAAAAAGATTCCTCTTCCCATCCCTCTAAACTAAAGATTTAGCAGCCCAGATCAGTGGTTCCCCAAGGACAGAAAAAGACTTGCTTACAGATCGCTAAAGTAACATTTAAAAGGACTGACTGCTTATAAACCATTAGGATTTCTGAGACTGGCTGATAGAGCTGCAGGAATGAGTATTAAAGAAACAAGTGCTTTAAAAAAAAAAAGGACTTTAGGGCTCATAAAAACAATGCATCTAAGGAAAGTAAGGGGACTTCCCTCTGTTATTTATCTACTTAGAAGTGGATATTTGTTATTTATTCCACTTAGAAGTATTGGAAAGGTGTTATCTTTTTTTATTAAGCAATTTATTAATTTTTAGTTTTCAATATTCACTTCCATAAGATTTTGAGTTTCAGATTTTCTCCCCCTCCCTCTCTATCACCCTCCTCAAGATGGTGTGCAATTTGATATAGGCTCTACTTATACATTCATATTAAGCATATTTTCACATTAGTCATGATATAAGGAAGAATTAGAACTAATGGGAAGAACCAGGAGAAAGAAGAATCAAAATGAAACAATAAAAGAAAAGGTGAGCAAATAGTATGCTTTGATCTGCATTCAGACTCCATAGTTCTTTCTCTGGATGTGGACAGCTTTTTCCATTATGAATCTTTTGGAGTTGTCCTAGATCCTTGCATTACTGAGAAGAGCCAAGTCTATCAAAGTTAGTCATTATACAGTGTGGCTGTTACTCTGTACAATGTTTTCCTGGTTCTGCTCACTTCACTCAGCATCAGTTCATATAGGTCTTTCCAGGTTTTTCTGAAGTCTGCCTGCTCATCATTCTTATGGGACAATAGTATTCCATTACATTCATATACCACAGCTTGTTCAGCCATTCCCCAATTGATGAGTATCCTCTCAATTTCCAATTCTTGGCCACCACAAAAAGAGCTGCTATAAATATCTTTGTACATGTGGGTCCTTTTCCTGTTATTATGATCTCTTTGTGATACAGACGTAGAAGTGGGTATTGCTGGTCAAAGGGTATGCACAGTTTTATAGCCCTTTGGGCATAGTTCTAAATTGCACTCCAGAATGGTTGGATCAGTTCACAACTCCACCAACAATGCATTAGTATTCCAATTTTCCCATATCTTCTCCAACATTTATCATTGTCCTGTTTTGTCACGTTAGCCAATCTGATAAGTGTGATGTGGTACCTCGGAGTCGTTTTGATTTGCATTTCTCTAATCGATAGTGATTTAGAGCATTTTTTCATATGACTATAGATAGCTTTAATTTCTTCTCTGAAAACTGCCTGTTCATATGGTAATGGAGTTTATCTTAAAGTTAACCTTACATGATCTGCCTTATTAGGTTTAGAATCAGAAAATGTTGAAGTGGGGGGACTTTAGAGACGTACTAGACTGTAAGCTCCTTGTTTAAACTTATCTCTCCCCCTAGCCCTGCTCTGCCCCAGCACTATGCTGTATACACACTAGGTGCTTAATAAATGTTTATTGAGTACATCTAACTCAACCCTCTCTCATTTTGTAGTTAAGGAGACTGAAGCCTAATTAGGTGAAATGACTTGTTCAAAGTTACATAATGATAAAAATAGAAACAGAAGAACCCAGACCTCTTTACTCAAACCCCAGTGTATTTTCTAATATACTATTTACCTCCCATCATAAGCCCAAAATTGTTTTAAGAGGAAAGTGGCTATTCCTTCCCCTTGGGTTTCTCTAATATCTCACCTTTCTATTTGATCAGGGTCCACCACTCTTCATTCCATTATTACTTGACAAGGCTTCTTGCTCTGGTTTCTCTTGGAGATATAAGGACAGGGCTGATTCTCTCTCCTAAACTATTCTTCTCTAATGTCTTGACTCTCTCTGTCCCTTATGGGGGTGGTATCAATAAAGTGAATCCTTCCTCATTCCTGGGTCTTTCTTCCCTACCTTCTATTGTCAGGGGAGTATGGAACATGACATACTTTCTTCATTAGAAGAGTCCATTTGGACTCTGAAGGGTCTTGTGAAGTCTTGGTCTTTTGGATTGGGAGGTTGAAACAGGTGAGATATGAGAAAGCTTTTTGGCATTGATCCATGCCATATTTGTACAAGATTCTTTGACCCATTTTTGGAACAATACTGTCGGTGGTATTATGATGGTGTACTAGAGGGTAGGAAGTAACTATCTTATCTTACAACAGTATCTCAACTTTCTTCTCATTACAACCCTTGTGTTAGAGGCTTTCTCATTGCATGAGGAGCCTGGGTACATTTTGGGACCTTTAGTTTCTTCTTTCTGGCTACTCCCCACAGAAGTGGAATGTTGAAGTGTAGGTATCTGGTAGTTCCCAAATGGTAGCCGTCAGTTCATTTATTTGATTTATTGCCTTCTACTCAGGTAGTACCTGATAAGAATATTAATGTGTGCTACTCTGCCAACAGATGCCCATCAATTCCCCTTAAAAGCACCCAGGATTACAAGGCATTAAACAAGGAATAGATTTTTTTCTCCAATTTTTAAAAACATTTTTATTTGAAGTTTTGAGTTCCAAATTCTATCTCTCCCTCATTCCTTCCCTTCCCCCCTCCCTGAGACAGTAGGCAATCAGATATAGGTCATACATGTGCAGTTATGTAAAACATTTCCATATTAGTAATTTTGTATAAGACTACTCAAATAAAAGGAAAAAAATGAAAGAAAGTGAAAAATAGTAAGCTTCAGTCTATATTCAATCAATATCAGTTCTTTCTCTGGAGGTGGATAGTATGCTTCATCATTAGTTCTTTGGGATTGTCTTGGATCATTGTATTGTTGAGAATACCTAAGTCATTCACAATTCTTCATTGAACAATATCTCTGTTACTGTGTACAAAGTTCTCCTGGTTCTGTTCGTTTCACTATGCATCAGTTCGTGTAAGTCTTTCCATGTGTTTGTGAAATCATCCTGCTTGTCATTTCTTATAGCACAATAATATTTCATTACAATCATATACCACAGCTTGTTTAGCCATTCCCCAATTGATGGATATCCCTTTGATTTCTAATTCTTAGCCACCACAAAAAGAGATGCTATTAATATTTTGTACAAATAGGTCCTTTTCCCTTTTTTTTTTGAATGTCAAAGAATAGATTTTAATTACATAGAAAAGGCCATAGAAAGGTTTTATACTTAAGCCCTTAGACAGTAAAGAAAACTCCCTTTCCTTCTAGTAAACCTCTTCCTTCCTAGAGACCTATAAAGTCCTCTCAATTAATAGTACTATTAAGAGTAGCCCCCCCACCCTCCCACCCCAAGGGGAAAAAAACTTGAGATTGCAAGAGAGTTAAACAATTTTCTAGAGGGCCTCAGCTTCCCCAGGTCTTTGAGAATTAAAGTATTACTTCAGTGGTGGAGGGTGGGGGTGGGGGAGAAAGGGCTGGTCCTTCACATGGAGAAAGAATTTAGAATTCACAATTAAGTCAGGAGACCTCTTATTCCTAATGCTGCTATTTGAAAACTAACCCCTTAACAATGTATTTTCAGAGACTTAGACTTTTACTACTTGGAGAAAGAGCCAAAGACTCCATGGTGTCCACTGGGGCAAGGGGAAGGATCATTTTGTATCTATTAGTCTATGTTTTCCTTGTCTTGTGAGTGTTCCTTTGGGGCTTCATGAGATCTGCCCCAGGAATTGCATTGTATATGATGAATTCATGCTTCAGGGTCAAAAAAGACTGTGCCTCTGACTCAGACTTTCTAAGATCCCTTCTCCCCACAGCCCTTTCACAGGGGATGCTTCAGAAAGAAACAAGGCCTGACAGTGAAGTTTGAGGAGCCCAACAATGTCTCATCCTCTCTCCCTCTCCTTCTCTCTTGTCTTTGTTGCTTTTGCTTTTTTCATAGCTGTCTATCTGCCTTCTCCTCCTCTCTTTTACCTGCCCTTTCTTTCCCTTTTGTCTTTCTTTACTTCTATCCATATTTGTCTCTCTCCCTTCTCCAATTTAACCTTTAACTTTACCCTTACTTTTAAGTGTCCATAATGTGGATTTTTTTTCTTTTGGTTTTAGACCAGACTTGTGATTTTATTGATGTCAGGAACTTCCAGTGAGGAAACTCTCTCCACTAGTGCAGATAGCAATGATTCTACTATGTTTGGTCTCAGAGTTGCCTATGGAAAATGGAATATGGAATTGCTGCCACTGAAGTCCTGCTTAAATGTCTTATCATGGTGTGGAGTAGCCTGTGGGATCTATAAAGTTCTGTCAAGGAATTGGCAAAGCCCATCAGAAAGCTGGAAAGAATAAATAGGCCTGATGACAGATAGTATGCCTGTTGTTTGAAGGCCAGCCTAGCTCTATCCAGAGACACGTTACCAGACAGTTAGCTACCAGTGACAAATTATTTCAACCACAGTAATTCATAAATTCCATCTGCTAAGGACTAGAGGGGCTGTGATCTGCATTAATGTAACAAATTCTTATGCTGATGAAATCATGGATCCTTGAACCATAATGATGGAATTGAAATCCATTTTAAAATATTTGTTGTATCTATTGAATAAACTTTCACATTCCTAGTAAATTAAAAATCAGGGGAGTCTCTCTCTCTCTCTCATTCTCTCTCAAAACAAAAACAACCTTTCTTAAATTGTTTTAGTTTTTTTTACTTTGAAAGTGGCAGCATAGCACAGTGGGTAGAACCTTAGACCTGCAGTCAGTGAAAACTAGGTTGGAATCCAAATGCAGGCAGCTACGTGGCACAGTGAATACAGTGTCATGCCTGGAGTCAGGAAGTCCCGAGTTCAAATCTAGGCTCACATACTTACTAGATATATGACCTTAGACAAATCACTTAATCCTGTTTGCCTCAGTTTCCTCATCTGTAAAATGAGCTGGAGAAGCTCATGGCAAACCACTCCAATATCTTTGCCAAGAAGACTCCAAATGGGGTCACAAAGAGTTGGACACAATTGAAATGACAGAACAACAAATGTAACTTTGTGCAAGTCATCTATCCCCTATGAACCTCTTTTCCCCCATCTATAAAATGGGATTAGCAGTAGCATCCACCTCATAAGGTTGTTACGGCAAGGCTTTATAGACTGTAAAGGGTTAAATAAATTTGAACTATTATTATTACTTTTAGAAGTCTCTAGAGGAAAGAAGGTTCCCCACCCTCACCCTAGTGTATTATGTTCGTCGACATGCTTGCTGGTATGTGATTTTAAAAGGATTCAATCACCAGAGATACTGGAGTGCTCTCGGCTCTCATGTAAAGGACTGCCATTACCTCCTTTGAATAAAATACACATTGTTCTGAAGCTCTTGACTACATGAGAACAGTGTGTTCTGCCCTGAGTTAACTAGTTAGGAGGGCGTTTGTGGCTGATTGGTTCTTGGCTTGCTTTGTCCTCAGTATGGAATCGTGCTGGATGCAGGCTCTTCTCACACCAATATGTACATCTACAACTGGCCAGCAGAGAAGGAGAATGACACTGGCGTGGTACATCAGGTGGAAATGTGCAAGGTACAAGGTAAAGTGTGGAAATGTGGGAAAGACCAGAAGCAGGAAGGAGATGGGGTGCCAAGAGGGTCATGAGAAGTCATAACTATAGAGCAGTATGCATTAAGAAGTAACCCTTCCAGTGAACTTTGGGGGGAATTTGTTGATGCTACCTCGTAGGGGCTGTTATAATCAGCATGAATGCAATCCAATTTAGCAAACATTTATGGAGTATCTGTTATGTGTGTGGCACTGTGATAAGTAGGTAGGGGATACAAGAATAAAAATAAAAGAACGTCCTTCAGGGAACTTAGGCTCTACTTCGAAGATATGATATATATGAGAAGCAGTGTGGCACAGTCAATGAATGAAAGGTTAACCCTGAAATCAGGAAGACTGGAATTCAAGTTCCACCTTTGACTTATCCTGGCTAAGGGATCTTGGGCAAGTTACAACCTCCTAGTGCTCCAGGTAGTGATCTAAAATTGTAACTTACAGATGAGTTGCTGATCTACATTGGTGGAGGGAGTTTTCACACCTGGAACTTTGGTACAGGTTCAGATTTCCTGCCCCATGTCCTCTTTCCCCCCATTCCAACCTATGCCCCCCCCCCAAAAAACCTAGTCATACACAAAATGTAAACACACAAGTAAATATAAGGCACTTTCAGGATGGAATAATCACTAACAACTGGGGGAAAACGGGGAAGTCATCGTGGAGGAGGTGGCCTATAGGCTCAACATTAAAGGCAGATAACGATTCTGAGTGGTAGAGATGGAAAGGGAGGGCATTCCAGGAGAGAGGCTTCTGTAAATACACAGAGGTGGGACCTGCTGAAATGCTGAGCTTGAAAAAATGTTAGCCATTCATTTTGGCTGTAACACAGGGTTTGAAGGGAGTAATGGGAAATAAGACTGGAAAAGTTGAAGCCAGGTTTGAAGCCAGATTTTGAAGGGCCTTAGGAGCGGAGGAGTTTCTACTTTATCTTGGAGTCAACAGAGAGTCACTGGAGCAGGGGAGTGGCCTGATTCAACAGTGTTTTAGGAATATTATTTGGACAGCTGTGTGGAAGATGGATTGGAGGAGGAAGAAACTGGAAGTGGGGAGACCCATCAGGAGGCTATTCTATTAATGCAGGCAAGGGGTTCTGAACCTGTGTTAAGTATAAATGGAAAGAAGCAGATGGGTGTGAAACATGAGGAAGGGGAATCAATAGCACTGGAAAACTTTTTGGCTATAGAGAATGACAGAGAAGAAAGAGCCAAGGCAGAGACTCCAAGTTACAGTGCTGGCGTTGGAGTTGGGAAGATCTGAGTTTGAATCCTACCTCAGACACTTACTAATAGTGTGACTCTGGGCGAGGTACGAAACCTTTCTCAGCTTGTAAAATGGGGATAGTAATGGCACCTGATTCACAGAATCAAGTGTGATTTATCGTTTAAAGAAAGCACTTTGCCAACTTCAACAGTTATATGAATATAGCCATTATAATTATTATGAATGGGAAGATGGTTGTGCTCTTAATAGAAACAGAGAAAATGAGGAGAGAGGAAAGTTTGTGAGGGGAGATGACTTTACTATTTTACTATGGTGTGAGTGTGACATGCCGATGGGACATTAGGGTGAAGATACAAAGCATTTGGCAATATGGGACTGAAGTTGCACATACAGATTCAGGAGTTATAGGTGTAGACATGATCATTGAGCCTTTGGGGATGGATGAACTCAGTAAGGGAGGGCACAGGACGGAGCACTGTATGAATACTCATGTTAAGGAGACAGGAGATGGATAACAATTCATCAGAGAAGACTGAGAAGGAGCAGACAGGCAGGAAACTAGAGAAACAACAAAGAGCAGAGTCATGAAGCCAAGGGAAGAGAGAGTGTCTAGGAGGAGGGTGTGGCTAATAGCAGTAATAATAGCTCACATTTATAGAGTACATTAAAGGTCTTCTCATTGGAGCCTGACAACAAACCTCTGAGGTAGGGGCTAGGAATATCCCCATTTTACAGGTGAGGAAACCAGAGCTGAAAAGGGTTAAGTGACTTGGCCAGCAGTCACACACTTAGTATCTGAGGCAGGATTTAAACTCAGGCTTTTTTGGCTCCAACTCCAACATTTTATTTACTGTATCATGTAGCTGATTCATAGTATAAGAAGATGTAGAAAGTTCAAGGAGGAAGAGAGAGAAAAGGCTAACAGCTTTAGCAGCTGAGGTTACTTGTTACCGTTAAGGAAAGAGTTTCAGAAAAATGTTAGGGGAGAACGGAGATAAAACCTAGAGCTGCGCCATCCCTCCCCATCATCCCCCAGCTATGGCATGGCAGCTTAAAGCTCAGACATGAGCCATGGGGCACAAAGCAGCCAGGCCAAGGAAAGAGGGTTCATTACCAGTTGGTCTGTCTCTTATCATAGCCCTACCAGGGAGTTAGGACAGATAGCAATGGATAAACCTTAATGGTTGCGTGCTTTGGAGAAGGGAGAACAAATCACCGGAAGTAGAGAGAGTAACTCCCGGAAACAAAATTATTCCTACAGCCCATGGATCCAGAGCTCCTGACCCAAGTAGAGGAGCAAGGGTGGGGGCTAGCTTAGTTTAGCAATTTTGGTTCCAATCAGTTCACCGGTCAGTTTAGGAGATCCTCGGTAGGATTAATGGGTCTTTACTTTTTTTCTTTGTCTCTTCAGTAACTTCTATGTGCTCTGTAAATCATATAGTCTGTTTAATGTTTTCCCTGTAATTAGCCAATCCTCACTAAACATCCCCTTCTGACTTGGGTCTGTTAAGGCAAGAGGACATCTACACAAATCTGTGTAGGACTGGAAGCAACTGAAGTTTAATTGCCTGGTGAACCAAATGCCTATGATTATGAAGATCAGAGTATAATAAATAGTAAGGCTACTGGAATGGAAACCAGGAATCTTAGGTTCATTTCTCTTGTATCGACTTGGAAACACAACTCTATCTCATCCCAACAAGTGATAACATGTAAAAGGAAAAGAGTCAAGAGGCATTGGAGGCCCAGGGAAGGGGGAGAATGGAATTTACAGAACAGTTTCCATGCCAGAGTCCTTTAGTTGGATCCAGCCCTTAAGAAGCACAATGTGCATGGTTCCAAAAGGATTTGGACAAGTTGTACGGAGTCAATCACTAATATACACATAGGGTGGGCCAAAGTTAATTCATTTTCATACTGTTCATTTCAGTAGAATTTGTGCTGACATTCTGCATGCAAATCTGCAGAAATATTGAAAAACAGCATCAGAATTTTTTTTCTTCTTATCCTGGTGTGATAGGGCCTTTTGAAACTGACCCAAACTGAGCATTCTAATATATTACTGGTAGACCTGTAGTGTACTGTAAACGTTTTGGAGAGGAACATGGCAGCATATAATAAGAGTCACAAAAAGGTACTTTTTGCCCAAGTGATTCCATTGCTAAGACTTTATAGGATCACAGACTGAGAACTGGAAGTGATCTTAAAGGTTGCCTAATCCAACTGTCTCCTTGTATAGATAAGGAAAGTGAGACTTGGAAAGGACAAAGAGGCAACACATTTCTTGGTTGTTACCTGTTAATTCATTTCCTTCTGCTTCTTTAAATGCTAAGGGCTCTAATATAAGATTTTATTTCTTTATAATATATGTTAATTTGTTTTAGCTGATGGTTGTTGATAGCAAATTTTTAAAAATAAACAAAAAGAAAACCTGCTGACTGAGCACTTTTTTGGTGTGTATTGATTGGCTGAGACATTGCCAACTGGGAAGCTGTTATGTTTTTATAGGCTGATTTCTAGAGAGTTAAGGCAGCACTGAGCTTCTATAGCCTGGTGTAGGAAAAAGGCACTGTAATGAAAGCTTAAAGATCTGGATTCTAGTCCTGTTTCTGTAATTGACTTGTGGGTGATTCTGAACAAGTTCAGTTACCTGGGCTTCAGTTTCTTCTTCTGTAAAATGAGGGTTTTGGGCTACATAATTCTTTTTACTTCATAGTACCCAGCACATAGTAGGTGTTTCATACATGTTCATTGATTAATTGTTTACTCTAGTTCTTACTACCTGAAGTTTGCCCCATTCTCCATTCTTCCTCTCCCCATGCTTCCTGAAGTGCTTGGGCCAAGATCCTAAGGCCCCACATAGTATAGCGAGGGCAAGACGTCTCAGGCCCATCTAGGTTTATATTTATGAGCATGGATTATAATAACATTTTTCAGATTTATGAGCATTCCATCTCCTACCTGTATGCCTTGGCCCAGGCTGTCTCCCATGCCTGGACTGTTTCTTCTTCTCATGTATGCCTCTTGGAACCCTTGATTCCCTTAACAAAGTGCAGCTCAAGGGATACTTCCTTCAAGAGGGATTTATAGCACATGTGGAACTCCACATGTTGAGGCCATCTATCCATGCTCTAGTCCTCTACATTGACTTTTTAAAAAATAAAATAAAATGTTATTGGTACCTATTGTGTAAATTTCCCCCGTATCTCTCCCTTTGCCCCTCCCAGAGAGCCACACTTTATAACAAAGAATATTTTAAAAGAAATAAAGAAAAAGAGGAAGAATAGATAAGACAATCAGCAAAACCAATCAAAACATCAAAAACAATCTGAAAATATTCCAAACCCTTAGATGTTCCACCTCTGCAAAAGGGGTGGGGGGAAGGGTGATGAAGAGTTCAATTTGATCCAAAGCTGGAGAACAAATGTTTCTGGAGAGCTACTGTAGCGTATGGTAAAAATATCAGTGGAGGTCATCTGAAGATCTGGGTTCTAGTCCTAACTTAGAAGAGTGGACATAGGGAACCAGAGGTTTGCAAAGAAAAACAAACCTCTGGGAGGTCAAGGAGTCCAATCCCAGCTTTATCCCATAGCTTCTCATAGTGCAATCTATGAACCTTTTGAACTTATTCAGCAGCATTAGAATCCTTCATTATGGTGTACTCGATATCTCCAGGTCCTGGCATCTCAGGATATGCCCAGAATGTGGAAGACGTGGGCTTTTACCTAAATCAGTGCATGGACAAAGCTCAGCAAGTGATTCCCAAGGAGCAGCACCATCAGACTCCTGTTTATCTCGGAGCCACGGCTGGCATGAGGTTGCTCAGGTATAGCAGCATCTAGGAACCTATGATAGGGTTAGGATTTGGGGTTCAAGACAATGTCCCCAAAGTGGTAGTTAAGTCCTCCATCTTGCAAAAGTCCAAGGGTGGGAGCAAGGATTTCAATCAAGATTTATCGAATAGATTCACTGGACCTCTGAGCTCAGAGACCATCTAATCCAACCTATACTCAATTGAGAATCTCCTCTATACTATCCCCAATAAATGGCCACTAAGACTTTCCACCAGGGTGAGGAATTTGAGGCTGCAAAAATTTGAATCTTCTACTTCTTTAGAAAGAGGTGAAGGGAGTGCGAGCTCAGATGCCAACCAAGATGCAGGGAAGAGGATGTTTGGCTCTCCTTTGACTCCAGGATAAAACACAAACATCTGTTTGGCATTTCAAGCCCTTCACAATCTAGCTCCAGCCTCTTTTTACAGGCTGAGTACACCTTATTCCCCCCACACACTCTATAATCCAGCCAAACAAGTCTGTGTGCCTATTCCCAACACATGATATTTCCTCTCTCACTCCCATATGCCTTGGCACACAGGCTGTCCTCCAAATCAGGAAGGCTTCTCTCTCTCATTTTAGCCTCTTAGAACCCCAGTTCCTTTTAAGGCTCAGCTCAAGTGCTGTCTCCTTCAAGAAGCCTTTTTAAATTCCCCCTCTTGCTTAAAAAAATCACTTTGTATTTATTTTGCAAATATTCTATATTTGTTATATCTGGGAACATGTCGTAATCTTCCTTTAGAATAGAAGCTCCTCATGGGCAGGGACTGTCTCACTTTTGTGTTTGGGTCCCCAGCACCTGGCACAGGTGGTTGTTGATTGATGTGATCCCTGATTTTCCCTCCCTCTCAACTAAATCTGACTTACTTGTTCCTTGTGGTCTTGTCCCAACATGAATCACAAGGTTGTTTTGAAGGTACATTTTGTGTCCCTTCACCCAGCCGGTGCTGCTTTTCCCAAGCAGCAATTGCCTCAAGTGACAAAACTGCCACTTGTGGTTTTGTCAACAAGTGGTCATCCGGTCTTTGATGAGAGGCTCCTGAGCCAGATTCCCTTTTTCTTCTTTTGGACAGCTCTCATTGTTAAACATTTTTCTTCTTAGCAAGCTGAAATTTGATTCCCTGAAATTTCCACCCATTGCTCTGAAGTCTGCCTTCAAGGATAAAGTACAAATATGATCCCTCTTCCATAGGACGGCCTTTCAGATTCTGGAAATCAGACATCATGAACTTCCTAAATCTTCTCTCCAAACTAGGCACCTCCAGTTCTTTTTGACTATTCCTCATGTGTCATGAACTCAAGGTTCTTCACTATCCTGGTAGTCACCTTAATTTGAAAAAAAAAACTTTTTTTTTTTTTGCTTTTTTGATGAGGTAATTGGGGATAAGTAACTTGCCCAGGGTCACACGGTCACGCCACTAGTAAATGTCAAGTGTCTGAGGCTGGAGTTGAACTCAGGTCCTCCTGACTCCAAGGCCAGAGCTCTATGCTCTGCACCACCTAGCTGCCCCAAAGAAAAAACATTTATTAAGCACCTGTTATATACCAAGCTCTATGCTAGATGTTGGGAATTCTATTTAAACAGTGAGACAAGCCCTGCTCTCAAGGAGCTTATATTCTACAAGACTGTTGCTGTTGTTTGTCCTTTGTTCTTGAAGGGGACCAATGACATCCAGAAGGTGATGTCGTGACTTGCAAGTGAATTGCATTCAAGTGAGGCAGGGCTATGCAGAGCCACCAGCCTCACTCTCTCTTCTGGTGCCATCTGCGTCCAGTGGCAAGATATAGATCAGGACAACTGGGGGGATATGTATTAATAGACAAGTCAACACAAAACAAATACAAAGTGAAGGGGGATGGGCACTAATAAAGCACTTAGTAGTGATTGGTTGGCAAAGAGAACCAAAATGACATCACTATCTTGGGGGTCAATGTATGTTATTTAGTACTGAGTGCTTGATAGATGCTTGTTGAATGACTAACTGACAAGTGGGGCAAAAGGAACGGCCTTTTGAAAGAGATGTCACTTGACCTGCCACCAAGGCAGACTGAGGTGGCCTGAGAATAGGAGTCCCAAGTTAGTTATCTTTATCTAGTCTCAGGTCTAGGGATCTCATTTACCGGTGGTAATTTGCCGTGGTGTAGGGTGGGTGAGGGAGGTTGGGATCCCAGGATTAGTAGCTAACAGAACTCTTCTTTGTGTTGGGGGTCCAGGATGGAGAGTAGCATCCTGGCGGACAAAGTCCTGGAAGCTGTGAAACAGAGCCTCACTTCTTACCCTTTTGATTTCCAAGGGGCCAGGATCATCACTGGCCAGGAAGAAGGTGCCTATGGCTGGATTACCATTAACTACTTGTTAGGCAAATTCAACCAGGTAATATCGATCCTCTAGGATGTGTGGGAGTGGCTGCCTGGATGCCAGCACAGTTGTGTCCAGGGAAGTACATTGGCGGTGTCACCAGCACTTCTGGTTCCAGTGCTAAGAGTGTGTGATTATACTGGCACCTTTGGCCCCAGCTTAATGCCCCGCACACAGTAAATGCCAAATAAATGCTCGTTGATTGATATGTAAATATGAGTCTGAGATTTCAGAGTGAAATCTTTCTCAAAGAACTAAAGATATCTGCCCCTTATGAGGAAATTGCTTTTTGAGTGATTAGTGTCACGTATTAGCCTTTACTGAAGTCCTCTTTTGATACCACACTCTGGTGTAGCAGGATGCTCGAAGGTGAGGCTGGTAGAAGATGCTAGCAAATTACCAAGGCTTCATGTAGGGACCTGGCAAAGGATTTTGGCTGAGGACCAGCCTCCCTTGCAAAGGACTGTCATCTGAGGACCAGCCTAGCTAAGTTCAAGGAGGGTTATCAGCAGGCAAGCCAAGGAAGGATAGAGTTTTGGGGCTGTAACATCTCTCCAAGACCCTCTACTGAGGCACAGAGGAGTTGCAATCTGTTTCAGTGGAAGGAGAACCCCCACTGATGAAACCAAAGATCTCTGAAGCACTGACCTAATGGGAGAGCACTGTAGAATGGAAAATCTCTGGGCTTGTGTCCCTAATGTTTACTGGGAACCCCTCTTTTTAGACCATTGATTTTGGCATGGACTCCATCCCTCTTCCAAGGCTATGCCTAGCCTTGCCCCTGGACCCCTGCTCCTTTTCTTCCTGTCCCTGAATCTAGGAAGGGGTGTGTCACAGGGCATATGGTAGGTGCGGAGACATCCACTCTTACCTATAGTAGCATAATAAGCTTCATCTCTTTTAGACTGTCAGCTGGCTCAGATTTCTGCCCAGAAGAGAAGGTCCCCAGGAAACCTCTGGGGCCTTGGACCTTGGAGGAGCCTCTACACAAATAACTTTTGTGCCCCTTAATGACCAGATTGAGTCCCAAGGCAACTCCCTGCACTTCCGTCTCTACGGCAAGAGCTACGATGTGTATACACACAGCTTCCTGTGTTATGGGAAGGATCAAGCTCTCCGGCTAAAACTGGTCAGCAACATTCAGGCAAGTCTAACTGATTCCAGATCCTGCCTCCCCCACATCGGCAAGCATGACCTCACATCCTGTTTTCTCTGCCTCACACACTATCATGACTGAGGTTGGGCTCAGAAATACTCCCCCCCACCCCTCGCCTCCCCAAAGACACAATTTTTGGCAAGTTATCTGACAAAATTTGGTGGACCCTAATTTTGACAGTTGTTTATTCACAGCATCCCCTCCTCTTACACCTCCCACATCCAACACATTTCTTCAGTATATCAAAGATTTAGAGCTAGAAAGGGACCATGGGGACTATTCACTCTATTCCCCCTCATTTTACAGATGAGGAAATTAAGGCCCAGCAAGGTGAAGAAGGAGGCAGCTTGACAGCTCAGTGGATAGAGCATGGGCCTAGAGTCAGGAAGACCTCAGTTCAAATCTGGCCTCAGACACTTACTATCTGTGTGACCCTGGGCAAGTCACCTGACCCTGTTTGCCTCAGTTTCCTCATCTGTAAAATGAACTGGAGAAGGAAATGGAAAACCACTCCAGTATCTTTGCCAAGAAATCCCCATAGACAATAAGGTCCAGGGGTCACAAAGAGTAGAACTTGACTGAACAACCATAACAATGCGAAGCGATTTGCACAAAGAAAGTAAATAGCCAAGCCAGGATTCAAACAAAGGCCTGTCCATTTCAAAGCCAGTGTCCTACCTCTCTCATAAAATATCTCCAGCCATAATTTTCAAACTCTAATCCAGGAAACTAGTTTTCAAACCATTTCCCAGGAGACCACTTCTTACTGCTATAAGACTACCAATGAAAATAGCTTGGCAGGAGGTGATATGCCCTGAGGAGGGTAATTGTGGCTTTTTCCTGCTATGGGTCACATGGCCATTAAGAAGCAGGCAGAGTTGTTATGAGTTTTTGTCATTCTTTGTTAGGAGTTTTTATCTTCATTTCATAAATACAACAAAAAGAAGATTGTTATAAAAAGCCTGGTAATGAGAAACATTTTAGCAAAAGCCACAGTTTGAGTAGACCAGTTGACCTTCAAAATTCCATATCCAAATACTTTCTGTATATAAAGACACCACAAGCAAGACCTGCTGGGCTAGCTCCCAATCATCTTTTCTTTTCACTACAAAGAAAAGCCTCGCTCTCCTCAGCCCCTCTCTTCCAGGCCCTGACCCTGGTTTTTCACTTTTACCTTTATAACTGTGGGTACTTCCACCAAATGAACTCAGGATCCCCCAAGCTTTAGAATCATAGGATTATCATTTTAGGGTTGGAAGGGACCTTAAAAGCCATAAAGTCCTACAGATCAAGGAATGGAGGCACAGAGGTCCCAGATAGTGAAATGGCAGCTAGGTGGCGTCATAGGGGATAGAACAATGGCCCAAGAGTCAGGAAGACTCATTTTACTGAGTTCAAATCTGTTCTCAGACACATAGGAGCTGCGTGACCCTGGAGAAGTCACTTCTCCCATTTGCCTCAGTTTCTTTATCTGTGAAATGAGCTGGAGAAGGAAATTGCAAACCATTACAGTATCTTTGCCAAGATAACTCCAAATGGGGTCACCGAGAGTTGGACCCAAATGAAACAACTGAACAATAACAAAAGGTGGTAAGGAAAACAGCTGGGTTTTGAACTCAGGTATTCAGACTCCAAAAGTCAAGCTCTTTCCCTTGTACCATGGGGCAAAAGCTTAGAAATTTTAGCTGAAACTCTGCCATAAGCCTTTGCCCTTAAAGTCATTTAAGTCAAGCTTGTAGTGAGCCCAAAGTATTACTAGGAACACTTTCAATCTGGTTGTCTAGATAGCCCAAGAATGGTATTTTTTTAACATTTGTGACAAACTCCAGATCACACTACTGACATGTTATACAACTTCCCAGAGAAATTATCTCTTTATCTTTGACAGTCCTACTGTGTCTCATTTTTTTTGACACCTCTCTTATGCTCTAATTTTCTTTCTTTCTTTCTTTCTTTCTTTTTTTTTTTTGGTGAGGTAATCGTGGTTAAGTGACTTGCCCAGGGTCACACAGCTAGTAAGTGTCATGTGTCTGAGACTGGATTTGAACTCATGTCCTCATCACTCCAAGGCCAGAGCTCTATCCATTATGCTCTAATTTTCAAAAAATGTTTTATTATTGCTTTAAAAAAACAAAGCCTTATTATAATTTTTGAGTACCATCCTTGTTGGTCTAGATGACTTTTAAGGTTCCTTACAACCCAAATGGAACTTTCTCTTATGACAAAGGAGAACAGTTAAGCAAAAACAAACTGCCATATTGATGAAGACTAATAGCATATGCCTCATTCCACACCTGTAGTCGACCACCTCTCTCCCAAGAGGAGGCAAATGTGCAGCCCTCTGAAGTAAACATTGGTTAATGCATTGATCTGAGTTACTATGTCTTTGGGATTGTTTTCCTTTACATTATTGTGGTCCTTGATGTGCATATTATTTTGCCTTGGTTCTGTTTACTTTGCTCTACATCAGTTCAAATCCTTCCCAAGTTTCTCTGAGTTCTTCATTGTTATTGTTCAGTCATTCAGTCATGTCGTACTCTTTTCATGACCCCATAGACCATAGCATGCCAATACTGTCCATGGGCTTTTCCTGGCAAAGATATTAGAGTGGTTTGCCATTTCCTTCTCTAGTGGATTAAGGCAAACAGAAGTTAAGTGACTTGCCCAAGGTCACACTGCTAGTAAGAGCTGAAGCAGATTTGAATTCAGGTCTTCCTGATTCCAGATCCAGTGCTCTATCTACTAAGAATTCTTCATAGTCATCATTTATTACAGTGCAATAATATTATATTACAATCATACACTATAATTTGTTCAGCCATTCCCAATTGATAGACACCCACCTTGTTTCCAGTTTCTGGTGCTGTGCTAGATTTGTGATTTCACTGTTGTGGAGAACTCCCAGTGAGGAAACTCCCTCTAGCAGAGCAGAGCTGCAATTTAATTGACTCTACAGTCCTCCTGCCTAGGGCTCTAAGAGCCTAAGAATTGCCTGGGTCCAAACAAATAACTTGTAGTCCTTGAATAGGTCTTCCTGACATTTTAACTAGCTTTCTGTCTACTATGCTGTGCTTTCATCCTTCTATTTTGTTGTTGCCACAGAAAACAAAAATTAAAAAAAAAACAAGGCTGTAACAGTTGAGCATTCTTACATACTTATGTTCCATTTTTGCAGTTTGGTTATTTGTGTGTGTAACTCCCCTACTAGATTATAAGGTCCTTTAAAGTCTGTCTTACTTATCTTTGAATCTCAGAAGCACTACTATGTGCATATTAAGCACCTACTAAATACTCAATATGTTTGAATGGATAAATGAATGTATTATATCAATGAATGAATATACTATGCCAATTCTGCTTAGACAGGGTGTAAGAAGCAAGGAGGACATTAGTAACAGCCCTAAGTCCTGATCTTACAAAAACAAACCTAAAATGTATGTTGTGAGATCATGTTGCGGCTCCTTCCCTTCCCATGGCCTTGCAGGTCATGGATTTCCGTATTTTCTCATGTAGGATGCAGAGAATGGACTCCTAAGGGATCCATGCTTCCACCCTGGCTATGAAAAGGATATGAACATAAGTGAGTTCTTCAACACACCCTGCATCACAAAGGATGAGAAATCATTTCCATTTCGCAGACTTCAAATACAGGGTACTGGAAACTACTCGGCATGCCTGCAGAGCATTCAGAATATCTTCAACACCACCTATTGTCCTTACTCAAGGTGTTCTTTCAATGGAGTTTTCCTGCCATTCTTACGTGGAGATTTTGGGGTAAGTAGAGGAAATGATTTGGCATATCAGATCTCAGTTTTTAAGAAAGTGGAAATGAATGCCATGACTGAATGCTTCTCTTGAGGTGTAATCACTGACTTTGAAACTCCCAAGAAGACTTTATTTCATTTCAACATTGGGCAGGAGACATTTGGTCATGGTCTGAATTAAGGCTGTTTTTCTTAACTGTGGAGAATATAGGAGCTCTACATTTCATGGATTCATAGCCTTTTAGACTAAAATCTTTCCCTTGTTGAGGATAAGCAGCTGATTGGCATTCAAGCTTTGTGACCTCACATTTGCTGACCATTGTTGGTGGCAGTGATAGGAAGCCAGACCAATCTGCTGCAGTAGTTTTGATGGGACAGCTTCAAGGGAGCAAGAAAGTATCACCCTTTGAGTTCATACCCCCTTCCTACTTATCCAGGAAACTGATTACCAAGAATGGGACAGCCAGGAAAACCAGCATTTTTTAAGTGCTTGCTATATGGTAGGTACTATGCTAAATGGCAAAGATGTTAATACAAGCAAAAAGACAGTCCTTGCTTTCTGGGACCTTGCATTCTAGTGGAGAAAGATGATACATAAAAGGGAGCTGAAAGGGGGGGACAGGAAAGGAAGAAGTTACTCGTCTTGGGAGAGGAAATGAAAATTTATGGCATTGATAAAAGAAAGACTGAGAAGGGAGGATTGATATCATTCTCTCATGCCACCTGTTTTTTCTTAGGATTAGGACCTGATGGTAGGCAATCGTTTTTGCTGCTAGGGGTGTTCTGGCTCTGTTAAATGACCCTAAAGGAGGAGGAGAAAGAAAGCACTTCTAGTCAGCCTTCAAATGGAATATTACAATAAAAAGTTTAGCCCAGAAACTGTAGATTCCCTCACTGGTTTTGCTATCACTTGGTTATCCCCACCTTTAGGGTTTCCCTTTCAAGATTTCATAGTCTTTTCCTATGTTTCTGTAGTGGCCTTTTCAAGCAAAAAATCCTCCAATCGATTGGTTAGAATGCACTATTTTACCATACTGTGATAGAATCTTGGGGTACAGTTTGTATACCAAAAAAAAAAATACAAAATAAGTCTCACATTACTCTCCTTAGCTTGACACAGGTTTTCATGGGTCAGGATTCCAGACATGTTTCCCGTTTCTTGTGCTTGATTTCTCCCCTCAGGTTCAATGTCAGAGCCATTTGTCTCAGCTTCTAAGGTCACCATAAAAGCAAGACCCCAAGTTTATGCTCAGGCCCAGGGTGAAATTTCTCATCTCTTAGTCATCCAAACACCATCTAAGTAATTCCTAATGATTCTCCTTATTTTCCTGAATCAGACTATCTTCTCTGAGCATAAAGCTCATTAAACCACTCTAGCTCTAAAAGCATTTTCCTCCTTCCCCTTCCCAAAACTTTCTCAAATTAGCTCCAATTTCTTCACAACTCTCCCCTCCCTACCCACCATCCCAGTATCATACATCTAGGTTCCATTTTATCACCTTGTTCTCCTCCCATCCCAGTATCTTTTTCTTGCATTTCAGCACCAGCATTAGCATAATTATTAGCATCTCCAAAATCCAACTACATTCAAATTATTCTAGGCCCCATCAGCCTGAAGTTTCTTAATCCACATATGATTTTATATTCCCAGATCATTATTATTATTATTTTTTTTGCCACAGTTGTGTTTGGGACTTATGACCTCATTCTCCAGATGTAAATAGAGTCTCAAAGGCTGTCACTGTTTCTGTCATTTTGATTAAATAGTTCTCTTGGGCTGCTGGACTGAATCCTATTTTGTAGGCAAATTAGAAACATCTCAAGAAAGGAGGGAATAAGTGATTGAGCATCTGCAGGGATGAGATAATGAGATAATTTTAAAATTATTTTTAATGACATCTGTGAATACTATGTTAACAGCACAACTAGGAAAGCAGAATTGACTAGAACATTGTGAGGAAGGATAAATCAAAAATCAAGTTCAAAGACTTCTTAATGAGATTTATTAGAATGATGAACAATGTTCCCTAAGGAGATTGAGGAAATCACCATTGTTTATTTAGACTATGTAAAACAAAACAAGGCAGATTTCTAAAGAATAGACCCAAAGGTATGCAGGCTCCTAGACTAGGGAAAAAAGAAATTGGGTATCTCATCAGTTTCTAGGATTCTGGATTTGGGCATGGTTTCAAAATTGCACAGTAAGAAACTAGAAGCTATTTCTAGAGAACTAGGGTGGGAGAGGAGGAGAAAAAGAAAGCAAAGAGGGAGTGAGGGGTAACTCCAAAATGGACAAGTGAGAGAGATTTATATAGATGGATAAATGCATCTACCATATTATTCTGGCTAGGTAGTTCAAGAATTTCAGATTTCATTGACTTGTTTTGAACTGGAATGTTTCTAGTACCACCAAACAATTCCTTTTAGGCAGGTTGGGATGACCCCCAAATTCTGTGTTTGTTGTCTGAGCTATGGAAACCTGGCAACCAATTTATCCAAGGATGATCAGACCCGGTGAAGACTGATTTCTATTATCTAAACTCACACAGACCTAATTAGTACCAGGAAACCAGTTTGTTAAGTCACAGAGAGACCAGTGGACGGGTTGTCATGTCAATAGTCAAGTTTATTTTCTTATTGGCAGGGAAATCTCTGTAGGTTTAACCAAGAATATTTCTTGGTCGATAAGGAATCACAAATATAACAGCTTAGATGGAAAGGTGTTATTGATTAGTGGAAAGTGTTGGACATAGAGTGAGCAGACACTTGACTTCCAATCTGCCTCTGACACTGATTAGTGACCCAGGGCAAGTCAGATAATCTTACTGGGTAAAAGCTATAGAATCTGTAAAATGAGGATAATAATGTTGTATTACTTATTTTCCAACTCTTTTTTTTCTCCTCTAGACTCCATGAAGACCTCCAGTCTTCTGTTTGTACTTGTGATTATACATTATTTCAACATATTCATCATTTCATAGCAGGTTATAACTTCTAAGTTTACAATTAATTATTAAGAATCATATTGGAGTTATGAATGCCTTTGGAGAGGCATGTTCATTTACTACTAGGACACTGTTTCCTAAATTGTACTTTAAGCAATATGAATAGGGGTTTGATGAAAATTTTGGCTTTAGTATTATTTCTCCTTTGAAATAGTAAATGGAATTATGCATGTATCAAAAATATTCCTTTGTAATCTTTCAATGTGAACATTGGTTTAATTATTTCTATTTTGTTCTGAAATTTCCCCAAGTCTCTTTTATCCCAGGGAAATTCTGTACCCCCAGAGCTCCCAGAATTGCCTGTATAGCTTCTGTCAAAACATTTCAAACTCTCCAGTGTTCAGTGGTCTAATTGGAGATAACCTTAATTCATAGTTTTCAGTTAAAGAAGGCAAGTCTTTCCTTAGCTGGGTGTCTTATTCTTTTTCTTACTATGTGTAAAGAAACTACTAATAGTAATAGCTAGTGCTTTAATGCTTATAAATCACTTTATAAATATTATCTCATTTTAACCTCACAACAACTATGGAAGAAGCTAACTGCTACTATTATCCCCATTTTATGAAAAGGAAATGGAGGTAGATAGAAGTTAAGCGACTGGCCCAGGGTCCCCCAGCTAGTAAGTGTCTGAGGCTGTAATTGAACTCAGGTCTTCCTGACTCTAGCTTCAGCTCTCTCTGTGCAGTATACCTCCACTATAGATAGGAAAGCACTTGTAGCTATACTTAAGACCCAGACCCATCTGTTGAATTTTTTTTTTACTCAATGCCTGCTATGACTGGACCAGACAGCTATTAAGGTCTAATTAAAAATTATCATACTCTTATCCCAGCCCCTCTTGCCAGCTCTATATGCTTCTATTCCTGGATGGAAAGTCCTTTCTAATTTCACTACTAGCAAGGAATTCTGTCTTAGCTAAGCTTTGTATCTGTGACCCAGGACCTAACATACAGCTCTGCACACAGTAGGCACCACTGGTTTCCTTCAAAGCACAGTTCAGGAACCACCTTATGCAGGAGACCTTTTCTTATTCTGCCCAACCTGGCCCTCAATTATTTTCACTTTCTCTCTCTTAAAATTACTTTATATTTACTTGTGTAACATCCTCCAACCAATGCAACCTGTTTGAGAATGGGGGACTCTTTTTCTGCTAGCCTTTACATGCCAAGGCACAAACACAGGGCCTTCCATGTAGTAGGAGATCAATATTTGTTGAAGTAAATTGAATCAAATGTTCATTCAACACAACTGTTCCCCAGGTCTTGATTCCTGACTCACTTCTCATCCTACTCAAGACCCCTGATAACTTTATTTATTTTTTATTCTTTTCCCTGACAATTTTAAAATGCCATATGTACAATATACTTGTAGTAATTACCACATATGGCTTACAAAGAAAGGGTCATTTCATCATATTTTGCCTCTTAGATTCTGGGGGTCTGGATCACTTTGGAGGCCTGTAGCTTTTCGTTTACTGAATAAAGTCTTTGAGATTTCTTGCCAATAGGAGGTTTTATAATTCTATTCACTACGCCTTCATTTTTTTACCGTAGGAGGACAGTGCTCTTTTGAGGAAGACAGGAAATAAGACTTGATGCCCTGTGACCTTCTCAAATTTTGGATTGGGCATTCATTGTGTCTGAGCCTCTGAGGCGTGAGAATTTTTCTTTGATGGGCGTGTTAAACTATGTTAATCCTCTCTCTCTCTCTCTCTCTCTCTCTCTCTCTCTCTCTCTCTCTCTCAGGCTTTTTCTGCTTTTTATTTTGTGATGGACTTCCTGAACTTGACAGACTCTTCTCTGGAAAGTGTGATGACCAAAATGCAAACTTTCTGCTCCCAGCCCTGGGATGAGGTAAGTGACATATTTCTGCATTGAGGTAAGATTTGCAAAGTGCTTTACATATATTATGTCATTCGATCTTCACAACAAACCCATGAAATTGTACAGGTATCATTATTCTCATTTTATAGAGAGGAAACTGAGGCAGGTTAAGTGACTTGCCCAGGGTCTCATAGCTAGCAATAATGATTTTATAGACGATCTAGGCAATCAGACGACCATTTCATAGTCACAGAATATTAGAGCTAGAAGAGATCTTTGACATCTTCTAGTCCAGAGGTCAGCAAACTACAGCCAGGCAGCTGCTGATTTTTACATTTTTAAATATAATCAAACTTTATTTAAAAAATGTAAGAAAGCTAGAACTGGAGTCAGCATACCTTCCCCTCACCCACTGTCCCCTAATGCTTCAAGAACTAGCTGGTCTGGAGACTTGTATCACTCATAGCCTAATCTCATAGTTCATGTTAAGAAAAAGAGACCTGGGGCCTAGCCCTGACAGATTATAGAAAACACCCCATCTACAATGGCCAAAGCCGCTGGTGTGAGTATTAAGGGAGAGTCTGTAGTATACCATAAGTAGACTACGTTTTGATTGCTAACCTGCTGGGACCTGGGCATAGGGCTTTTGTCCTTCCATGGATGCAAGAGTTGGTGGCTTTCACCTTTTCCATTGAGGATATCTATGGAATTTGGACTTAATGCCTCGCTCTATAGCTGGGGTTCCCAACCTGTTTTGGTTCCCATACCCTTCAAGTTTGAGTAAATGTTCCTGTAACCCCTCTGCAAAATGAGTGGAAATAAATTCTAGAGTTTACCATGCATGTGCATATAATAGATAAAATCATTAATTTCAGTAGGATAATATATTTATCAATTATCCCTTGCACCCACTTAATAAGCTTCTTGTACCCCATGAGATACATATACTCCAGTTTGGGAGCCCCTGCCCTAAAGACAATACTAGATTATCTGGGAAAATGGAGGAAAGCATAGATGAGTAAAGTCTGTGGAAAGTAAAAACATCTCGCTTTCCAACCTTTCTCTCACTAGACTTTCTACTAGAGCTGCCAAAATGTGGCAGAGTGGAATTTGAGTTTCACCTGCTTTGATATCACATTGAACTGGGTCAGGATTCTCTCATTGCTGGGAATTCCAGGTCCTTGTCTTTCTGGAGAGGTGAATAGTAACAAGGTCACAAATGCCCAATACAACCAACTCTCAACTCTAAACACGTATGAATTGTCTATACCTTTGGCTTCTCTTACTCTTGATGGCTCCTTTTTTGGGGGGGGGCAATTAGGGTTAAGTGACTTGCCCACAGCCACACAGCTAGTAAGTGTCAAGTGTCTGTTCTGAGGTCAGATTTGAACTCAGGTCCTCCTGACTCCCGGGCTGGTACTCTATCCACTGTGCCACCTAGTTGCCCCTATGATGACTCCTTTTCTTTTGGCCATTTCTATGCCTAATAAATTCCTTACTTACTAATAATAGTAGGTAAAGGAGATCAAAGACAGGTACAACAAATCTAATTTTGCTACTTTTTAATACCTTTAGCAAAAAAAAAAAATCTGGTGAAAGAAGAGGTTAAAAAGTGCATTTGTGGGGCAGCTAGGTGGCCCACTGGATAGAGCACTGGCCCAGAAGTCAGGAGGACCCGAGTTCAAATCCGGCCTCAGACCAACACTTGACACTTACTAGCTCTGTGACCCTGGGCAAGTCACTTAACCCCAATTGCCTAAAAAAAAAAAAGTTTGCATTTTCAGTTGATTCCATTGGTCCATGTTCTCCTTTGTCCTGCACAATCTAGTATGCGGTAGGGTGAGGCAATAATTCTAGACTCCACAAAGAGATATCCTCAATAGAGAAGGCCCAAGGTATGTACTTTTGAACCAATGGAAAAATCATAGTCTCACTTCCACTTCTCATTGAGAATAAGACCATAGATTTAGAGCTGAAAGAAACAATTAGACCTAGTTCAGGGGTTCTTAACTTGGGGGCCACAGACCTCAAAGAGTCTGTGGGTAGATTTCAGGATTGTTTATGACCTTGGATAGGAAAAAAAATTATTTCGATATATTTGATTTCCTTTGCAATCCTTGTATTTATTTTACTCATTTAAAAACATTATTCTGAGGAGGGGTCCATAGACTTACCAAACTGCCAAAGGGGTCCATGGTACAAAAATGGTTACAAACCCTTGATCTAGTCTAGATCACCCTCAATAGCTCAGCCTTCTGCCCTTCTCAAAGTTGGGCTTAGGGACTTTGAACCTGTTTCATTTGGAGACTGCAATCACTCTTGATCAGCTCTATAATTGGAAACTAGGTCTCTTGACAGGTGTATATTGTAGTCAAATAAAGTTAAAAATCTTTTTTTTTCCTTTCAAAGGTGAAAGCACGATTTCCTAATATCAAAGTGAAGTACCTCAGTGAATATTGCTTCTCTGGGACCTACATTCTTGCCCTCCTACAGCTAGGATATGGATTCACTGAGGATAACTGGAAAAATATCCAGTTTATGGGCAAGGTAACCACTGTGTATATATGGGGAGAGAGAGATTGGGGGAAGGTATGCTACAGTCAGAGTCTCAGGGGCATGAAAGTGGATGTCTTTTCTTGTGCATCACCCTCATTATGGTTTGGCCCATTCTATTTAATTAACCTTTTTTTTGTCTATTTGACTGTGTTTTGTTTTATTTTTAATCTAAGCAAATAAGTAATGTGTGTGTGTGTGTGTGTGTGTGTGTGTATAAAAAACTCTTCCTAGGTTTTCCCTCCCACAAACTGTCTGTATTGTGACCTGAGCAGGATCACTCAACCAGTGAGTGAACATTTATTAAGCACTTACTATGTGCCGGGCACTGTACTGAGGATGTGAAGCACTAGGGATACAAAAAGAAGCAAAGGACAGTAGCAACCCTCAAGGAAGTTACAATCTGATGAGATAAGGAAAGTCATAAACATTTATTAAGGTCTTATGTACTTTGTGCCTGGTATCCAGAAGTACTTTACAGATACTATTTCATTTGATCTTCACAACAATCCTGGGAAGTGGGTGACATTATCATCCTCATTTTATAGTTGAGGAAAGTGAGGCAGAAGAAGGTTAAATGATTTATTTGCCCAGGGTCAAACAAACAATAAGTGTCTAAGGCTGGATTTGAACTCAGGTCTTCCCAACTCCAGGTCTAGTGTTCTGTACACTATGGTACCATCTAGCTGCCACCTTCCCTTTGTCAAATGCTTCATGGTTCTGTAAAAGCACTTTCAGAATCACATTGGGGGCTTACAGCAAACCTAATAAATAGGTAAGGCATGTATGATTATTTTCATTTTACAGATTAGAAAACTGAGATTCAGTCATAGCTTGGCAGCATTAGGACTTGAAACTAAGTCTCCTGATTCCCAATCCTTTTAAAGGCCTTCACAATCTGGTTCCAACCTACCTTTCAGGTTTTTTATAGCTAACTCTTCATGGACATTCCAGCCAGATTTGCCACCTTATTGTTCCTAGAACATCCTAGGTGCCTTATCCCCCATGCCTGGAATGTACTTCCTCATCCCCTCCATCTATTAGAATTTCTTTTTGCTGTTCATTTGATAAGCCATGTCTAATTCTTTTGACCCCACGAACCACATAGCATTCCAGGCCCTTCTATCCTCCATTATCTCCCAAAGTCTGTCCAAGCTCATGTTCATTGTTTCTATGAAACGATCTATCCATCTCATTCTCTGCCATCTCTTTTTCCTTTTGCCTTCAATCTTTCCTAACATCAGGATCTTTTTTAGGAAGTCCTATCTTCTTATTGTGTGGCCAAAGTATTTAAGCTTTGGCTTCAATTTGGCTTTCCACTAAATGGCCAGAATTAATTTCTTTAAGTTTTGACTGATTTGATCTCCTTGCTGTTTAAGGGACTCTCAAAAGTCTTCTCCAGCCTCCCTCCAAACTCAGCTCAAATGCCCCTTCCAATAGGAAGCTTATGATCCTCCTAAGTTGCTGGTGTCCTTTTAATCTATGTTGTTTTTATTTTTCTGTGTCCATGTTGCTCCCTAATGGAATATAAGCTCATTGAGGACAGGAAATATTCCGCTTTTGTCTTTATATCTTCGATCCCACACACAGTGGGAGGAACTCAAGAAATATTTTGTTGAATGAATTGTCACAGCACCTTTTAGCAATATTGCTTTCCAAATTAGCCAATGCAGTCATTCATGGAAAAGTACAGCTTTTAAAAGGCAAATACATTATCCAAGATAAAAATTAAAGCCAAATAACAAATGCTGGAAAGAAAGTCTTTCATTCAAATTCTCAGTTGTTGTTGCTTAAGATTGGGTTGTTGTTTGTATGTTGTTTTGTTTTGTTTTGTTGGTGGGAGGGGAAGGAGAAACAAAAACTCTTTACATAAATAGCTACTTAAGAGTTAAAAATGAATAGTTACTTCATCACAGGAATATTGAAGGTTTGATGTTTGACTCACAGAGGGTTTGGTAGCCCTGTTACTTCTGTACATTGCATGTATCTAAAATCTCCAAACATCTGGGAAAGAGTTTTTTTGTGCTTTCACAGAGACACATATCCTTCTCCCCTTTGGCTTTTGTTCTGACTCTGATCATGTTAATATTATAAACTCTATCCTTAGATACAGTACACCACCCCATCCCCACTCATCCAACAACTCTAGAATGAGGCTGAGTGTACCTTCTCAACAGACTATAAACTGGTTGTCCAAGGGTTAGCAAGTCTTGATCTAACTTACATTAGACACTAGGTGGTCACAGGTAAATATGTCCAGGACTATCAAGGTCCTTGAGGGACCTTGATACTGGACAAGCATTTATTAAGTGCTTACCGAGTGCCAGGCATTGTGCTAAGTGTTAGGAATACAAATACAAGTAGAAAGAAAGACAGCCACTGCCCTGAAGGCGCTTACATTTTAATGGAGGAGCCAACACATAAAAGGAAACTGGAAAAGGAGGGGTTGGGGAGATAGGGAATGGAGGGGACCTGGCAGAGAAAGTCTGGAATGCAGCTTGAAGAATACAGAGGTCATGCACCCCAAACCAAGAATGCAAGTTTAGGGTTTGATCTCCATTCTCCTGAGAGACTAATGAGAAAGTCAGTATTCTGAATTGCTACTCAGATTCACTGGGGTCATTAAGTCCTAATTCTTACTTTCTGATCCCTTGTTACTAATTCACTTGCTTTAAATCAGTTCAAATATAAAATTCATAAACTTAGAAAATATTACTGGGACCATGTTTCCTAAATAGTCTCTTCCTCGGGGCCCATACATACAGTAGTTATTTAAAAATTAATGCTTATTGAATGGATGAATGAATGGCCTATGGCTAAGTATGAATGTGGATAAGGTTGTTGAATGATCAGTACAGAAGGTGGGTGGTGTTTTATTGGTTTTGTTTTTAATCAAACCTTGAATAACAAAATTTCCATCCTGCCTAACCCCTCCCCCTCTTTCTGTCTACAGATTAGTGGAAGTGATGCCGGATGGACTTTGGGTTACATGCTGAACTTGACCAACATGATCCCAGCAGAGCAGCCTTTGTATCCGCCTCTCTCCCATTCGACCTACATCTTCCTCATGGTCCTCTTCTCACTGGTCCTGGCAGCTGTGTTCTTCATCGGCTGGCTTCTCTTTCAAAAGCCTTCATGCCTTCAGAAAGGAGCTGTATAGCAAGTCATTTTAAGCTCTGCAGGGTAGAGTACGACAGAAACACTTACAAGGAGGACTTCTCTCCCTCCTGCAGCTTCATGCTGCACTCCTTCCTCGGGGTCAGTCTTTACCAGCACACATCTTCCCTTGACTTCTGCTGCACAATTTTTCTCAGGAGGGTTTCTTGCTATCCGGGTCCCATGCTTCATGGCAGAAATTCAGCATCTCCTTGTCATTCTTTCTTTTTTCACCTTCTTTCTCCTGTGTGTTTTGTGCTTTTGTGGGTCACAAGGATTTGCCATTTTTTCAGAACTTTGCATTCATTTGGAAGAGAAGAGATGATGAAGCTACAAATCAGCCACAGTTGCCAGTGAAGGCCAATGGGGCTACATGGGGAGGCTGGAATGGCTGGACAATACCTTATCTCAGGAATTGCTTGAGTTCCTTGGGATTCTCCTGCCTCCCATTTGTGAAGAGCAGATGGTGCCTCTGTATGGAGCAGAGTCAAATGGGCTCTGTAGGAAAAGTCCTTAGACTAGGCCAATATTGGCTAGGGCCAAAGAGTATCACATGGTCATCTTCTGTGGTAGTTTGACAATGCTTACCTCAGTACCATACTGTGTCATCGCTGAGATTTGAGCTCCTGGGGGCAGCCCCATCTCTGCCAGTGCAGAGTTTATTCTTAGAGCTGCTAAACATACAGACATACCAGTCCTAGGGCACATATCATGGCAGGTTTGTGTGTATGTATGTCAAGATTAAAGATATCTTTTCAACTCAGGGTTGGGAGTAGCACATCTTAATGCTGTAGCAGGCCTTAGCATGGGGAGAGTCATCCTAGCTTTGGACGAAAGTGGAAAAATCTATGTATCAGCTGTATAGCAGAGATTCTCAGACTTTTCCGTCTCAGGACTCCTTTACACTCTTAAAAATTATTAAGAACCATGCCCCACTCCCCAAAGACTTTTTGTTTCTGTGGGTTAAATCTGCTGATGTTTAAAACCACATTAGAAATCAAAATGTCAGTATTATTATAAATATAGTTCTGACCTCACAGACTCCTAGACTCCTTGGGGTCCCCAGACCATACTTTGAGAACTGCTGCTATGGAGCAACAGGTCATTAGGTTGTCACGACAATCTGCAGTAAGGTTAATTAATATACTTCAAGAAACAGTGATGCAGCCCTTGCCTTCGGACTTATTTCCTTTTGTAGGAGATGCATGTGTTGTTGTTAATTCTGGGTGGGGTGGGGGAAGGGAGGAGGATGAAGAATCCCTGTGCCACCTACCTCCATGAACTGTTATAAGCATTGCCTCATAGGCAAGAATAATGGTGCATGACTTTGACCTTGTTCCAAGATCTCTGACTTATCCTTCAGTGGGCTCTTCATTGAGTTGGTGTCCCTTTTCCCCAAGAACAACAGATCTGCTTTTCAGTATGTCCAAAGAGTATAAACCTGTGAGGAGGGAACCATGTTCTCTTCTATTGTTATCCCCAGCTGAACCTCCTTGACCTCAAGCAAGAGTCAGATGCCAAATCTGGACGTTTTAATCTTCTCTTACGACAAAGCAATTAATCAGTGATGAGAATCCCCCTTATTCCTGTTTGCCTTCTTCCCTAAATCTTCTGAACAAAAACTGAGTCCTCTGGATCACTGAGTTCAAGTATGAAAAACATATAAACATTCACTCCAAGCCTATGAGACAACAGTTCCTTATGTTTATGTCATACTTTGTTATCATGAAGTACTGCATTATCTTACTTGAGCTCCAGAACAACTTTGTGCAGGTATTATTTGTCCCATTTTACAGATGAAAAACTAAAGCTCAGAGAGTTTAAATGCATCCAGGTCACGCAGCTAGCCTGTGGCAAAATTGGGATTCAAACCCAGGTCTTCTGACTCCAAGTCTAGTGCTCTTCTGCTCTATCTCACTCATTTTATGGGGGAATATCATGTAGCTGCCACCTTTAAACAGTATTTGATAATGACAGCGAGAAAAAAAAAGAGAGGCTAAGTAAACACTTCTTAGCATCTCACTTCTAAATCCCTTGACCAACTCAATGCATTCCAAAGTCAATTTCTGACAACAGTGAGCGTTATCACACTTTTCGGTCACCATGAAATTCAGGGGACTAGCTACTAGTCTCTACATCTCAGAAAAACGATGGAAGGAATTAGGCCAAGGTTCTGCTCGGTCCAAGTACCACACTAGAATCAGGTTAACATACAGGGGTAGGTCAGGGCAGATAAATCTTTTGATATCAGACTTCTATCATCACTCATTACAGCTAGTTGCAATTCTTTCCAGAGCCTCAAGTCGAGAGAATGCTCTGTAATTTGGCAATCCCATTCCTTAAAACGGTAGAGAGTGAAGATGGGAGGAAACAGTGGGCTGTACGTGTGAGTGACTTTTTTTTTTCCATTATGGATCACAAAAGAAAAATCGTAGTGATCTATATATCACCATAAAACCATATAATTAGTGTAGGGTGTTTTTTTTTTTCAGAGAAATAGAAAAGAATTCAACTGATATGCTTTTAATATTAAGAATAGAATATACACAGGAATTTATAATAAATAATAAAAAGTAAATATCATTTCCATATTGTGGGTTATGAGAAAGCTAGCCTAGGAATGGCAAAGAAGGTTAAGAGACATTCAGGGCAAGAAAAGACAGAGGTAGAGTAATACACTTGGGCAGAGAGAAAACGTCTATTTTTCCCCCGCTTCCCCTAGTGGTGGAAGATACTTAAAGCCAAAGTTTATTTTTGCAACCACAAGTATTATAATGTAGTTTCCATTGGACATTTATTGCATTTGAGGTTTGAAGTAGTTTTTAACTAGGATTTTAATATTTCAGCTAAGAATTTTTGTTCAATATTCAGGTTTTGCTGCCCTTTAAGTGAGGATAAGTATCAGTTATTTGGTAACAATACCTGAACAGTCTGGCAACCTCAGGAATATATACATATGCTTATATACATATATACACACACATATATAGTAATCTTAGTTCTGAGGTAAGACAAAGAAAACAGATGTTAGTTTTTTAATAATCAATTACTTAAATTATAAGTAAAAATTAAATTAAACTGATGAACAATTATTCAAATCAGTACTATATATTAAGCACCTGCTATGTTCAAAGCACTGTGCTAGACACTGGGGGGAAGACAAATAATGAAAAACAGTCCTCAGACTCAAAGAATTTCTCTAGACAAAGAGAGACAGGGGAAGGAAAATGCACTGTCTTCTTAGAGCAAAATACATAAAATAATGAAATTATAGTCTATTAAATGCCATTCTCAGCTAGCTTAAAGACACAGTTGTTTGCTATATTTAATGAGTTCCAAAAAATGCTACATTAGAAATCAGCCTAGTCAACCTTTGAACCTCAACTGTCATTAGCATTGCAATATGACAGTAACTCATTGTTAGCTGTGAAATTGTTTATGCCAGTTAATGTCCTATTAATAGACCTAATTTAGAAGTATATTCTTTCTAATTAAAGATTTACTTTTCTTGCTTGGGGCTATTTTCTTCCCTGAAGAGTCTCTTTACATGCTCAGTGAGGACACCCCCTTTAGCTCATGTGGCCTCATATTTTAAACTGACAGAATTTCTTAAAGACTTATCTACCCATTTTCTTTCTCGTTTATGCATGTGGTGCCCTGTATAATCCAAAAAACAACATTTCAGACGAAGACACAATAAAATTTAACAAAGTTGGTTTTGTCATAGGCATAAATGTGTTTAATAGTGGGAGAAATGGTGGCCAAAAGACATTTCATTTTTGCATATCTATAATAGGCTGGATCTAAGTACACGGACTACAGGTCCCAAAGCCCACTTTGTAAAATCAACATGAGCCTCTAAATCAGATGACATCATTGCTTTGACCTCATAGATTTCCTCTGAAACAAGGATGAAAAGGGCTAATTCACTATAGGCTTCCCTGAGTGGTCTCTGATCAACACGTAATTTACAGAGGTGCTGGCAGAGGAGTACCATATTTAGAAGTTTTGCAAAAGTCCTTTTCTTAAATGAACCTGATGGTAGCTAGATTGGATGTGAACATTTGTATAAACTTTCAGACTCTGTATGTGTGTGCATGCATGTGTGTGCACATGTGTTTATGCACATGCATGCATGCATGTGCATGGTCTGGTAGTGTTTAATGGTACAATAATGGCATTACTGACAGAAGTAAACAAGTTGACTCCAGGCTTTTGTATTATAAAGAGATACCCTGCAACAAAGCATCATATGAAAAGTGCTTTGACAACATCTCTTTACATCCTTGAATGAAGCCCTCTGAGAAGCTATGGTACTCCTCTTCCCTCCTATGACTTGAAATGAGGAAAAGGAAAGAGAAAGGGGGAGTGGAGAGGAAGGAAGGGAAGGGAAGAATCTGTACAGATAAGCAGGGACAGAGTGTACTGGGAACTACGCAGAGGCTTAACTATTTAGGAAATCTTACTGGAAAAAAGAGTCATGCTAAGAGAATTGTATGTAAGAAAATTGTCTAAAAATGCAGCCTCTCACCAGGGGAACCCTTGGTTATTCACTTGTTCCAAAAATGCACTGAAACTTTATGGGACAGAAAAAACATTTTAGAAGTGTCATAGCCCCCCTCTCTGTCCCCTCCAAAGGTCACTAGGTCAATCTTTTCAAACATCATTTCCCTTTTTTACTATCCTTATCTATGAAGCTATAGTGATTCCCTGTTGCGCCAAATGTAAACTCTCAGTGGTATTCAAGGCTCTCAAGAGCAGTTTACTGGATTCCTTTTTGCATCATCCATTATAGCTCATAAGGTGCTTGACAATGAATAGATAGTCTCTTCAGCAGCTGACATCTGAAAAGTGTTCCTAGTCTTTGCTTAGGAGACAGCAAGTATGAACATACAACATCCAATTATCCATCGATTGATGGAAATGCTTAAGGAAGAGGATAGGGACCATTGGAGCACATCAAAATACAGGCATGATTGTGTAAACTATACAATGACTTCTATTTGAAAATAATTGGGAGAAACGCTAGTCTCTTCAACGTGGAGAACAAGATATTTTAAGTTATTTTAATATAAAATGTAATCATGACATTGTACATCACTAAAAATGGTAAGTAAATTAGGCCTGAGTTGAATGAATGAACTCCTAAGTACAGCACATGAACAGTGATGCCTAGTTAGGTAATTTAGGCTTAAATTTCACAGATTAGATTGAATTTTGGAGATGAAAGGAAACTTAGAAATGATCTAGTCCAACTCCATTCTTTTATAGGTGAGAAAATTTAGACCGTTGACCCATATCACTCATCTAATTGGTACACAGTTGGGCCTATAATCAATGTCTCCTAACTCATGAGGCTTTTTTTTAGGTGAGTTATATAGGGAAATATAGGCCACCTTCAGTGCTTTTCCTACAAAAATACAATTTCATATTAAGAAGTAAGAACTTTTTTCTATTTTCCTTTTGAACACTGGAATGCATAATATTCCAGTTTTAAAAATTTATAAAAATATAAATCCCTAAATACAAATTAGCTTTTCTTGCTTCTACTTAACTGTCTTGAGTTTTTTGGGTTTTTTTCCCCTACCTCTAGACTTCACCAGCACCTTTTGAAGCCTTCTGTTCTAACTTGTTTCCAGCTGCTATTCAGGAAGTAATTATCTCTTTAACACCCCCTATATGAACACTAATTGTTCAATTTTTCTTCTGCCAAAGTAGGCTTTGCCTGCTCTTCAGGATATTTAGCCCCTTTGTGCTCTGCCTTTGCCATGTAGTTCTAGACTGTTTTTTCAAAAGAATATAAACTTCCCTGCATCCCATACTCCCTCCATCCAGGTAAATTGCTCTTCCATTTAATAATATGGCTTCTAATAATACTATTAATGCTACTAACACTGTTAACAATGACATAAATGGTAACTGACTTTTCTGTACCACTATAAAATCTGCAAACAACATATAAATCTTTCTCCTCTGACAAGGTTAGAGCCACCCAGGAAAACATCATATGTGAAATCAGGTTACACATGTTTCCTCACAGGGAACAAATTTGTAATGAGAAAGGTTTTGCTAATTGTGTTTTCATAAAGAAAAGTTACTAGTAGACTTCAAGACAAGAAGTCAAGACTATGACACTAGCTTCCTGATGATGGGACACGCACACTCTAATGACCTGGGGGCACCTCAGTTGTGTCTTGGAGCACTGGGTTTTGTCTCTACCCATTACTTTGCTTTCTGTCCTCAATTCAAGGCAATGACAATCCTGTCATGTCACTTGGTGTACTGTTATAACATCTAGAATTGTTCTCATCATCTTTGTGTTTTGCTGCATTTGTTGTGTTAAAGCAAAACACAGAAAACTCCATATTTTGGACCAACTACTCCTGAGTAACAGGTACAAAATTGATCCTAGAATTAATGATCAGTCAGTCAATGAACATTTATTAAGCACCTACTATATGCCAGGCACTATGCTAAGCTGGAGGAATAAAAAAAAAATCAAATGGTCATTCCTGCTCTCAAGGCACAATCTAACACGGAAGACAACAAGCAAACAAATTTCAACAAACCAGTTATATCCAGAATAAATAGGAAATAAGAGAGAAAGTACTAGAATTAAGAAGGGTTGGGAAAGGCTTCCTGTAGAAGATGGGATTTAAGCTGAAACTTGAAGGAAGCCAGCAGGTGGAAATGAGGAGGGAGAACGTTTTAGGCATGGTGATGCAGGCATTAAGCATACCAACAAGCACATGCATTTGATAGAAGAAATAAAGAGAATTAGCAAAGGGAGTATATTTTTAAAAACCTTCATTTTTAGCAAGATCTAATATACTAAGAAATAATATTTTCTCTAGGCTAAAACTTTTTTCCAGGTTTTTCTTCCCTTTAGGAAAGCGGATGAAACAAAAATTAAGGTCTTTTTTAGGAAAATGAATTAAGGGTAATAGTCAAACCTAACTCTTCTCTAGATGTGATCATTATCTCTCCACCTACCCAAAGTGCTTGGCCACCATGATTCACTGAAGGGTAGTATTCTCTTTTTTTTTTTTTTCATTCAAAATTAAGATATTGATCCTAGGTTAGTTTGGCATGATTATATCCATCTTATAGATAAGGAAACAAATTGAGAGAAGTTAAGTGACTTTGGCAAACTCACATAGTGGTAGGACCAAGATCATAGGTTCATAGGTTTTAGGGTTATAAATTTCAAGCCAAAAGGGACCTTAGCAATCGTGTAGTCATGTAGTAACAACTCTGCCATTTTTTGGATGAAGGCAGTGAGGTCTAAAGATACTTGCTGAGTCATAGACTTAGATGGGAACAAGATGCCAAACTTGGTTTCTGTGACACCAATTCCAGGGTTTTTTCACACCAATCTACTAACTCAACAATGGATACCACCCTATCTTTCTCTCTGTTTACCTTCCTTATTTCTGGCTCATTTCCCCCATTTCTTTCCATGCTTTGTTTTTCTGGCGGCCACATCCAGGTTTCAGATCCACCATATTCCAGACTCTCTACATGGGAATGAATGACATCTTGGCAACCTGGCTAACACAGTGCCATGAACATCTTAGTTATGTCTTTATTATCTGGTCAGTGGGAAAACAGCAGTTCTGAATCTACATTCCTCTAAAAGAAAGGGCAGCTGGGGCAGAGAACTAAACAGTTGGATTTTGGCATAAAAGCAATGCCTCACCAGATCAAAATATTACTGCTTCCAGAACTACAGGACATCAGAACTGGAAGAGACCTTAGAAACCATGGAGTCCAAGCCCCTCAGGAAACAGAGTCAGCCAGGTGGTATGATAGAGAGCTGAGCCTCTTAGCTTCCCCTCTATTACCTGGAGCTTAGAAGGGTAAAGTGGGTAAGTGGCAGAAATGACAAAAATTCAGGTCCCCAAACACCTAGTTCATTGATCTTTCCAGTATACTATGCTTGGAGCCAACGATAAACAGAAATTCTAATATAGAAATAATGCTCTAAAATTCAACTATGCCACTAGTTAACCACATCCCATTTTGTTTCTGTTTGGTTCACTCTCATCTTTGGCTCTTAATAATTCCTAGGCCAAGGATCTAAATGGAAACTGGAGCCACAAACTGTGGCTTCAGAAGGCCACCAATTGAATAGAATCACCAAAACTGCCGAATCTCAAAGTTGGAAGGGATCATGTAATTCAATCTATCCCTGAACAGGAATCCCCTCTAACAAGTGAGACCATCCATCATCCTCTGCTTGAAGAACCTCAGTGATGAGGAACCTCCTGATAGAGCCTTTTCTACTGCAAGGGAGAGGGGCAGGAGAAAGAACTGAAAGTTGCATCTTTGCCACTTCCATTTACTGCTTTGAGTTCTGCCTTCTGTACTCAAGAAGAACAAATACAATTCTTTTTTCCCATACTGTGTCATGTGTAATTTTTTTCTTCCAGACATCTGTTAAATATTTGTCAACATATTCCTGCTCTGAGGTCACTAGTTTGGGAAATTTGGTGGATGGTAATGCTCTTGAAAGGAGTAGGGAAATTTCAGGGATGGGTGGGTTCTGGGAGAAAGATGATAAACTGAGTTTGAGGTGTGTCAAACATAAGACAGGAAGTCTGGGAAATCCAAAGATGTCCAAAAGGGAGTTGGTAATGCAGTTCAGGATATCAGGAGAAATATTTGGGCTGGAGATAAGGATTTGGGAGCCATGTAATCTATGTAGAGACGACAACCACAGAGGAGTTGAAGAGGGCACCAATAGAGAATACAGCATGAGCCTTGAGATGCCTGTGAATAAGGGACAGGAGATGGTTACTGAACCAGCCAAGGAGCCTGAAGAAACGTAGTAAGAGGTTAGGAGAATCAGGAAAGAGCAGTATCATAGAAGCCAAGGGAGGAGAAAATTCCCAGGAGGAGAGAGTGGTCAATAGTGTCAGATGCTGCAGAGAAGTCAAGAAAGATGAAAATTGAGGGGAAAAAACCCTATTGGATTAAAAGGTTATGAGATGGTTGGTAACTGGAGGGATTAGTTTAGACAGAAACGAGTCTATGGTTAAAAACCTGGTTATTAAGCATTGAAAAATTAGTAGGAAAGGAAATGTAGACAACGAAATAGATAACTTATTTTATGAGTTTGATAGTGAAAAGGAGGGGAGATTGCTAATAGTTTGAAACAAAGGGATCAAGTAAAAGGTTTTTTTTAAAGGATTGTGGAGACCTAGGGGCATGTTTTTAGAAAATAGGGTGGAGGTAGTAGAAAGGGAGATTGAAGATGAAAGATAAAAAGGGAATGATGTCTGTCCTGACTCCAAAGTTGACCAGTACAAAGGGAACACCTTGTCCCTTTATTCTCCTGCTGTTCACATCCTACAAATCTTCAACCCTACGTCACTGCCAGCATCTGACATTCTATGTGGGTCAAGACAGCAAAAGGATAAAAGTGAGGCCAGAGCAGGGATTGGGAAAACAGAGGGATAGAAGGAATTAGAATTAGCAGTAAAGATGAAGCATTGGTTCAGGTTGAGTGAGGCAGAGGAGAGATGTAAGACTAGGAAATTACAATCAGGAAGGGAAAGTTCAGACTTTAAAACCAAATAAGTTGCTCCTAAGGCCAAATCGAGCCGTCTGCCTTTATACCACCATGCCTTTGGAGGGAAAATGGCCTTGAGAACTGTATATTTCAGCAACAAGATTTCATCATGAAAAGAAGAACTGCAGAGTGATGGTGACAGAATGCGGAAGTGGCAGCAGAGAATGAGGAACAGGCTGCTTCTCTCTGACCCAGTGTGTCAGGAAGAATGAGGTGTGTATAACTTGACTTCAAGAGAGTACCTATTAATTCAGCGTCACCTGGAGAAGGTTTCCAAGAGTCTTCGAAGATGGAAAGAGTGGGAGTAGATACGTAGTAGAAAGAAGTTCCAAAAGGCTCAGTGGAATGGGAGAGCAGGGGAGGATATGAAAGGATTTGGGTCTTAGCAGACAGTAATTCTGAATCAGAGTGACAGAAGGAACGAGAGGAGTTAATATGTCTGCCACAAGATGGGAGAGGGGCCAGTAGACTGGGCCCTACCCTCCAGGGATCCTTTAATAACTGAAGGAAGCGCATATAGCAGTGGCAGTGACACTGTATTCCATGGCTTGTCACTCCAGATCCTGTGGAGCTAGGGAGACTGTTGGTGGATAAGGATACCTGGGAGTTCTGATCAGGCTTCTGGATCAGTAAAAATACCTAGCATTTATGCAGCCCTTAAGATTTGCAAAACATTTAAAAATATCTTATTTTTATCCTCATGACCTGGGGATCGATACTATTATCCCCATTTTATAGATGAGCAAACTAAGGCAGAGAGAAGACGAGTGACTTTCCCAGAGTCATGGAGCTAGTATATATCTGAGGCTAGATTTGAAATCAAGTGTTCTCTTTATTTTACAATCTTTTCTTCTTCTTTAAAATTCCTTTTTTAATAGTATTTCATTTTTTCCAATTACATGTAGTTTTCAACATTCATTTTTATAAGACTTTGAGTCCTAAACTTTTTTCTCCCTCCCTTTCCTCTTCTCTCCACTCCCCACTTCCCAAGATGGCAAACAATCTGATATAGATTATACATCTACAATCATATTAAACATATATCCATATTAGTCATGTTGTGAAAGAAGAATCAGAACAAAAAGGAAAAACCAAGTGAAAGAAAAAACAAAAAACACCAAAAAATAGTATGCTTCCATCTGCATAGTTCTTTCTCTGGATGTGGATAGCATTTTCCATCGTGAGTCTTTTTGAATTGTCTTAGAGCATATATTGCTGAGAAGAGCCAAGCCTATCAAAGTTGACCATTGCACATTTGTTGTTGTTAGTGTGTACAATGTTCTCCTGGCTTTGCTCAGTTCGCTTAGCGTCAGTTCATGTAAGTCTTTCCAGGTTTTTCTGAAATCTGCCTGCTCATCACTTCTTATAGCACAATAGTATTTCATTGCATTCATATACCTCAACTTGTTCAGCCATTCCCCAATTGATGGGCACCCCCTCAATTTTCGATTCTTTGCCACCACAAAAAGAGCTGCTATAAATATATTTTGTATATGTGGGTCTTTTTCCTTTTTGATGATCTTTTAGGGATACAGCCCTAGTAGTGGTATTGCTGGATCAAGGGGTATGAACAATTTTATAGCTCTTCAGGCATAGTTCCAAATAGCTCTCCAAAATGGCTGGATCGTGACCTGAGAAAATACTTGCTACTACTAACTCTGTAGACACATCCAAAATGGGGATATTAAGCAGATATCTGGGGAACAGATTTCAACATTTTCCACTGTGAATGAGTATTTAGGTCTGATCTCATTTGAGACACTCCACATTGCCTTCTTCCCTGGTTCATCTGTTGCTGCTGTGAGTTGTCTTTTTGGCAGAACAAACAGAGGTGGTCTTATGGAACATTCATGGACTTATAACAGCAGCTAGAATTTTGGGAACACATGGAGACCCACATCTGTAGGAAGTCATCTCAAGGCCACTGCTGAAAAAAACTTGGGTATAAAAACACTAGCTGCTCAAGATGAATATATAGACTATCTCAACAAAGGAGTATCTGAGATCTATCTCAAGCATACCAGGACAAGGAGCTCAGATTGCTAGTTGCTTTGTGTATATGTAGACAGGTAATTATTTCAATTGATATATAATTTTTTCTTCCCTACAACTAACCCATTTTGTCAACTAACCCATTTTTCCTCTACTACCTGTTAGTAAATAATTCTATTTTAACCCAAATCTATGAAGCAAAGGTATAAGTATACATTTAACATTCCTTTGACTGAGAATTTCTAATAGTGATAGATATCTAGGTTACTTAGATTTCAGAAAAGCATATACAACTAAAATATAATCTCACTAAATCAAATCAGTTTCCAGAAAGCATGATTTCTCATGATATTCATATAGACAAGATGTAGAAATATGATCTAGATAATAGTAATTAGCAGAGAGTACGTTTTTAAGCACCTACTATTACATGCCAGGCACTGTGCTAACTACTTTACAAATATTATCTCTTTTGATCCTCACAACAACGACCAAAGGTAGATGCTGTTATTATCACCATTTTAAGATTGAGAAAATAGAGGCAGATAGAGGTTAAGTGACTTTGCCCAGGGTCACACAGCTAGTATATGTATCAGGTTGGATTTGAACTCAGGTCTTCCTGACTCCAGACCTAGTATTCTAGCCACTGTATCATCTAGCTGCCATACTATAGTATTATAACATATTCTATATCTATTTACATGTGGGCATTTTGTCTCTCTATAGAATGTAAACCCCTTGAGGGCAGAGATTACGGTTATCCCTTCTACATCGCGACTTTCCCCATCGCGGTTTCAATATATCGCAGGGCAGCATAAAAAAATTAAGTGGGAATTTTGGGGGGAGTTTTGTGGAAGCCACAGATGACACACAAAGGCCAACAGATGACACAGAAAAAGTTTAGAAACTCAGAAATGCATAAAATATATGTCTAGTATTGTGTAATATCAATATATTTTATCTTTTAATAACATAAATATATACAATTTCTTTTCAAAAGTTAAAATAAGTAAAAAGCTAAAGTTTGTGAAAACAATGTGAAAACCTACAGGCGGCACACAAAGGTTAGAAATGTAGAGATATCTTAAAAAGTTTAGTAACTCATAAATGCATAAAATGTACATACTGCTATGTATAATATTACCTTACAGTATATATTTTACTATTTAATAACATGAATGAACAGCCACACAATTTATTTTCTTAAAATTAAATTTATAGTAAAAGAACTGTGGATCTTTTGGGGATGCCAAGCATGTTTGTGGCAATTTCTCATGTGACATCTAGCAATGATGAAGTCGCAGTGATCTCAGCATCTCGAGTTTCTTGTATCTTGTGTCATTTAGCCTATGACCAAATACCTAACCCAAATTTTACAATAAAGTATTGGGAACACTCCACAAAAGAAAAAGAAAAAATTCAGACTTCTCCTCCCTTGGGGAAGGGCCAAAAAATTTTACACAGATTTTCCAGGTTGCAGGGGTACCAAGCCACCAAACCCTTGAAATATGGAAGGGATAACTGTATTTCATTTTTTAAATTTGTGTTCCCATTGCCTAGCACAGTGTCTTGCACAACATAGGGGCTTAATAAATGCTTGCTTGCTAATTTCAAATACTACAAATTTATTAGTAGGAAGTTTAATTTTTATTTCAAGTTTTGCAACCAGAAAACAATTCCATAAGCATATACAACTAAAAATACAATCTCAACAAATCAAATCAGTTTCCAGCTTAAACATAAGTAACACTTTTGTACTTCATATTTTTAGCTTTTTTCCTCCGTAGGTATTTACAAACACCCATACAAGCCTGGGATAATTAAAGTACCGTGTA